TAGCCGAATGTACTTCATTGAATTCAGTAATTATTGTACTCCTATCAGAATCATTATCACAAAGAATGAAGGTATCATCCATATATCGGCAATAAAATGAGAGCTTACTGATAAGGTTGTTCAAAGGTCCATTTTCTAGCTTACTTAGAAAGAAATCAGCCAGAATGGGACCCAAGGGGGAGCCCATTCTGTATACTAACTTGAAATGTGTGCGCAGGTCTAAGCAAAATATTGACATCGAGTATGCCAATGCATACAATTTATAAAATTATAATCGTACCATAATTCTTGATGCTTTAAAGCTATTCACTACATAATCTCCAAATATATATAAACAATAACTTTAATGAAATTCAAATCAGACAAGTAAATGAGTAAATAGGTCAGTCAGTCTACAGTCCTGGCTGTGTTTAGCATTATTATTCACTAGACGTTATAATAAAATGCTGGAGCACAAACATCAAAAGTAATAGCGTGTTTATGTGAAATATCAACATTCTGTACAGTAACCAATTTACTGAAAAGGATATACGTTATAAATTACTGACAACTGATTGAGACTCTGCATCTGTTATGGTCTGTGGAAAATGGAATAGTGATAATGCAATAGGCAATTCAACTGAAGACCAGATATTAATTGCTAATCATTTCACCCTGCTTAGCTCGCGAAAAGGAAAATAGACTGGTGTGTGGCAGTAAGAGTCATTCAGTTTTATAAATATGAAATATTCTGCCTCGATCAGATGGTTTCATTCTTCCAAACTGGTCTAATCTTGTCAACCATGCACGTGATCCGGTTTCGATTCCCCAGTGTGACGCATTCCGGTCAACATCGTCAAGCCTGTAATAAGACTACTAGTGAAGAGGGAAGATTGGATGTGAGGCTATTGGCATGTCATATGTTTATAATGGGATTAGACCAAGTTTAGCTTGGATATTTTCCAAGCGGATATTTCACGGATAATTTATGTTTGATGTCACACAAAATCGAAGACTTACAAGCGAAAATCGACAAACTAGTCGAAGAGGCAGCGAAGATAGGACTCCAGGTGAACATAGACAAAATGGAAGTTATGAAAATTACCAACAACAACAACAATAGCAGCAGCAACATCCAGCGCCAATCACCTTCAACGGGAGGGATTTGAAAGAGGTTACTTCATTCACTTATCTAGGGAGCATTGTCTCAACTACAGGAGGAACCAACGAGGATGTCGAATCGAGAATCGGGAAGGCGAGAAACACATTCATCAACCTGAAACCAATCTGGAAATCTTCGTCACTCAGCATCAACAACAAAATTCGGATTTTCAATACAAACGTCAAGTCAGTTTTTCTATACGGATCAGAAACTTGGCAGCGGGTCACAAAGAATATTTCCAACAGCCTGTTGCAGACCTTTATCAACAACTGTCTCCGTTCTATACTGAAGATCAGATGGCCGGAAAGAATCACCAACAAGAAACTATGAGATCAAACAAAACAAGAACCAATCGCTCAAGAAATATGCAGGAGAAAGTGGAGATGGATTGGACACTTGCTGAGGAGGCCGTTGGGTGACATCGCGCGTCAGGTCCTCCAGTGGAACCCGAAGGGGAAGCGGCGAGTAGGACGTGCAAGGGTGACATGGAGGAGATCGTGTGAAGAAGAGTTGAAACAGTATGGACTAACATGGATGCATGTGAAAAGTACAACAGAAGCAAGTGGAGACGTGTAGTTGAAGCCTTATGTTCCACTAGGAACCCAAGGGAACAATAATAATAATAGCTTGGATATTTTCGCTCACACCTATTTCCTTGTCTAGGAAATATCCTCACTCATGCAACGCCATTGGCCATAATTACATATCATTGTTATTTTTTGGTAGACTTACTTTCCTATGCGGATACCGTTAAATATACGTTCCAACTCACATGTGTATTCTGGACTAAGTAGAGCAGGCTGGAGGGAACAGGTAGCTGTCGTATAATAGTCAAGTAGTATTCGTGATCAACTCGTCCAAGTCCAGCATCGATCGGTGTCCCTATTCTATTAATCCAACGTATGCGCAGACGTAATACCCGCACAGCTACTTAAACTTCAAAGCCCAATGTTCTCTTCAGAAGATATAGGAATGAAAAAAAGGCTGTTTTAACTGGGTTTAGCCGCTTCCTATCAACAGTTCCAGTTTGAACATAAGTGAGGATTGATTAACACAATTAGGTATTTACTTTAGTTTATTATTTATCGAATTATTTTTAGTAGATAGATCACTTAACAGTTTAGAAATCCAGAATTTAATTGGTGGATGGTGACTAGCAGTGGAATCCAGGATAACGCGCATTTCGTCCTATTTGAGACTCGTCAGCCATCTGGATGTACCTGCTTTCCCCAGTGAGTGATGATGTTCCCACCGAGGCTCGAACCCAGTGCCCATAGTTTCAAACGCCAAAGCGTTATCCACTAGACCAATTCGGGCCACGACAGCCACTGTCTCTTGTGCAATGGGTCATATTAATTATTTAATTGAATTTTAGATTTTCCCGTCGATTGATTGGATCGAAGTGCTCGGTCTCAGGTTGACATGTAGGCTTATTGGACGAAATGAGCATCCTGGATTTCACTGCTAGTCACCATACACCAATTAAATTCTAATTAAATGCCCAGACATCGTCGAAGCATCTGAACAAGAAGCCACAGACATGTCAACCTGAGACCGAGCACTTCGGTCCAATCAATCGATGGGAAAATCTAAAATTCAATTAAAATAAGTTTAGAAATCCGTTAAAACGTATCTTAGAATAATGTAGATTCGTACATTGAAAAAAAACAAATGCTTCAACAACCACATGGATTTGCAGGCTGACTGACTGATTTCTTCTTAGAGTACCTGAAATGGAAACAGCATTAGTGTTGTGTGACTCCAGGGGACAGCTGTTTGAGGCCGGTTAAACATGACGTATTTGAAGTGGTTTTTGGGCGGTATGTCCGTATTAAGATCTTACCTCCAGCTACGGGCCGTCGCAGGGTAAGTAGAGATGCATAACTTTCATTTCACACGCAATCATTACCCAACGACATCCACAATCACCTGTCAGCTTAAGGTTAACTTAGATATTACTATTATTACCACTTTATAGAAACCCTAAATGCCCTGATAATACTTCCGAAGAATGTAGAAGACAGAGTTTTCAGTGTATGACTTCACAAAGAAGTGCCTCAGTTCAAGTTACCACACCCCATGTAGCATACAATGATAGAAGAAAAAATCTAAATGAACTATAATGAACGGGAATGCACGGAAGACAGAAAAATTACACGGGGGAAACATGAAGAACGAATTAAGAACGATTTCAAGTCTTCTGACCAACAGCTTCAAGTCATTCGTTCTTAGCATCTCGAGGATCTCCCTATGTGGCTCAAACCAATAGTCAAAGACTCCTCGGATGATTTGATTTCATCACTCCTAACCCTTTTCCAACCTATTCTTATGTCAGTTAATAGTGCTCGACAGGGAAGACGATGGCTTAGCACGTGTAACATATCCTTGTCACCTTATTATTATTATTGTTTCCTTTAATTCCTAGAGGAACATAGGGCTTCAGCTGTGCGTCTCCATTGCGCTCGGTTCTCTGCTAGAGTTTTCACCTGGCTCCAAGTCTGCCCACACGCTTTCATCTCCTCTTCACATGACCTCCTCCAAGTCACCCTCGCACTGACGACCAACTCGCCGCTTCCCTTTCGGGTTCCACTCGAGTAATGGCTTGTCTAGTGATGTCACTTGATGGTTTCCTCAGAGTATGGCCAGCCAATCCATCTCCATTTCTTCCTGCCTATTTGTTGCACAATCGGTTCCTGGTTGGTTCGCTCCCAGAGATCTCTGTTGCTGATCTTTTCTGGCTGGCCATCTGATCTTGAGTATTGAGCGAAGACAACTGGCTGTTAATGAAGGTCTGTAGTTTGTTTGAGATGCTCTTTATGACGCGCAGGCCAAGTCTCTGATCCGTATAGTAGCACTGACTGACTTCACATTGGAGTTGAAAATCCGGATCTTATTTTTGATGCTGAGTGCTGTTGACCTCCACACAGACTTGAGAGTAGTGAAAGCTTGTCTTGCTTTTCCGATTCTTGCTTTGATATCCTCGTCAGTACTGGCCGCCTGTAGTTGAAACGATGCTTCCCAGGTAGGTAGGTAAAAGAGGTTGTTTCTTTCAGGTTCCTTCCATTTATGCTGATTGTTGTCTGTTGTTGTTGTTGCCCAGGAATCTTCATCACCTCTGTTTTCTCTATGTTCACCTTAGAACCTTTTTACTTAACACTCTACTCCGAACCTCCATATTATTCACCAGATTATACTAGTTAATACAAGAAATAGACCACAAAAGCACCTATGGTCAAAAAGGCAGCTAGTCCTCCACTTTCGATGGCTGTGTTTCACAACCATTTTAAAAAGAAGGACAGAGCGATGATCAGCTCGACAGTACACAACACAAGACTGCAAACTGTGCTAATGAGTGCGTAAAATGTTTTTAATATTTATGAATCATTCTCACATACTACAATATATTATATGATATAAAGGTTGATTGTATTAATATTCAACACCGAAAACAAAAAGGAAATTATTATTGATTGATTGAGTGATTGTTTTGCAAAATTAAGGTAATGAAGTGTCATATATGTTATTGTGTTTAATAGAGAAACAGTTAAATATCAAGAACTACAACATGGAGTGTAAGTTTTTAGCATAAGCAAACATAATAATAATAATAATAACAGTAATAAAGGGTTGGTTATCTATACCAAGACTCCCCAGTACATAAATAACAGTAATCATAATATAATATAATATAATATTCGTTGTACTCATCGACTAGCATTGAAGAAAAGGGGCATAAACACACATATAAATGGAATTATTGGATTGCAAACAAAAGGGAGAGTAATAATAATAATAGTACACATATCAATACGAAAATAGTAATAATAATAATAGTAACAATAATAAGGTGTTAAGGAGTTTAACATCCCGGTGACTGTAGCAGTACACCATTTCTAGCCGATGATCGACCAATTAATGCAGGCGGATTTTTGTTGTTGTTGTTGCCGTTATTATTATTATTATTGTTCACAAGAAGATTATCATGATGTGATTGATTGTTGTTAGGGATTCTGCCTACAGCAGGATTACTGTTAGGTGATTTCGTGGCTGTACCACCTTCTCCTTCTTCTTTTGCATTATCTGTTAACGAGGTAGTCGATAGACGAGATAGGCTGTAATTTTGTAACAGAGCAAATCGTGCACGAACTGGACTGGCGCCAACTAACAGACGATGAACAGCTTCGGCGTTTTGTAACTGGAAAACAAAGGAAATATGTTGAGAGAGAAAAAAACAACAACAAAAGAAACAAGGTGTGACAGATAAACGGATAATTTATGTTATACTATAGTGTATATAAAACAGAAATGGAAGGGTAAACGTCTTTTCGTAGCTTCACTCAATATTGGTTTCTCTCTATTTTTCAAGTATTGTTTTTGTAGGGATTTAGTTTGAGCTGACATCAGTTAGAGAACCACTGAAAAACCTGGGAGTACTGGACAGTCCCAAAATACGACGAAACAGCTGTCCAGTACTCCCAGGTTTTCCAGTGTGGTTCTCTCTGTTTATCTGTCTGTCCGTCCGTCTTTCTGAAGCAGTTATGCATACTGTACTGAATCGATAAGCGAAATACATGAAATATCATTATACCCTTAAGATCTCCTAGTTGAAAAGACAGTTTAAACCATGTTATTACATTTAATTGAATTTTAGATTTTCCCGTCGATTGATTGGACCGAAGTGCTCGGTTTCAGGTTGACATGTCGGCTTCTTGTGCAGATGCTTCGACGATGTCTGGGCATTTAACTAGAATTTAATTGTTGGATGGTGACTAGCAGTGGAATGCCCAGACATCGCCGAAGCATCTGCACAAGAAGCCAACAGACATGTCAACCTGAGACCGAGCACTTCGGTCCAATCAATCGACGGGAAAATCTAAAATTCAATTAAATAATTAATATGACCCGTTGCACAAGAGACAGTGGCTCTCGTGGCCCAAATTGGTCTAGTGGATAACGCTTTGACGTTTGAAACTATGGGCACTGGGTTCGAGCCTCGGTGGGAACATCATCACTCACTGGGGAATGCAGGTACATCCAGATGGCTGACGAGTCCCAACTAGGACGAAATTCGCATCCTGGATTCCACTGCTAGTCACCATCCACAAATTAAATTCATGTTATTACATTGTTGTTAGTCACAGTCACCTTATAGACAGACATACCTAACCAGCAATAACAACAAGCAACAATCACCACCACCAACAGGAGAAATTAGAAGGAAGTTACCTTTCTCACCTATCTAGACAGCATAGTTGCAACTATAGGTGCACGACACGGATGAGGATTCAGAGACAGATGGGAATGGAAAAAACAAGACAGACATTCATCAGTCTGAAATCAGTGCACTCAGCATAAAGAATAAGATTCGAATTTCTAACAGTCATGTCAAATCGGGCAGTGCTTCTACCCAGCTCAAGTACTTGGCGTGAGCATCACAAGAAGTACTTCCAACAGGCTATTACAGACTTTAATCAACAGCAGTCTTCTCTGCCTCGGTACGGTGGTGAAGATCAAAGGGTAGATCAGAAAGGATGAGCAACAAGGAACTCTGCAGGGAGATGAACTCAGCAAGACACCTATCACCCGGTAAAAATGCAAACAGAAATAGCGATGGATTAGATATACACTGAGGAGACTGTTGGCTGAAATCGCACGTCAGGCAAACCATCGAGCGTGGAGGGTGACATGATGGAGATCATGTGAGGACGAAATTTAAAAAAAAGGCTACAAAGAATAGGGTGAAATGGAGGTGTGCTGCTGAAGCCCCATGTTCTACTAGGAATCCAAGGGAATATTGATGGTAATAATGTTCTTTTCTCCGAATATTATAACAGATGAATGTGTAAATAAGTATGGGGCATATATATAAAGCAAACCAATCACTACATTATACACATCTAAGCCTTCAGAAAAATATGAACAAAGTGAACTACTTACATAACCAAAAATTATTCTACTACGGTGTGAGTTACTTAATAGTACATATAAGTAGTACATGGAGTAATGTTTTCAGAAAATCAGTGATGATCTGTGCGACGATGGAAAAGTCAGTGAAGAAGACAGACACACAAGAAGAAAGTTAGTTACAGCACTGAAAAGAATCCAATCAATACACGGGTTTAAGATTTGTCTGAATGTTCATCACCGTATCGGTCTCAATACACACATACATACCACTTGTACCTTTACCAGTTTTGTTCACTTTAATTGGTGTCACACCGCCTCTGTCGGAGATGTGGGGCACAGTAGCCAAGGAAATTTGAAGGGAGAGAGACAGGGACATTATGATATTCCTAAATGACTTAGGAGGTTTCACAAACCTGATTGGCATGAAGGAGCAAAGGACACTGTTCGGCATACTACTTATTATGAGTGGTACACATCACACTACCAAGTGAATTATCAAGCGAAAAGGTGATCAGTACAGTTAGAAGGTATATATATGTATATATATATACATATATATACTGGAAACAATCGCTCTCCTACATGGTTCTATAATAAAACCACAAATTTTAAATACATCAAGATAATTAGATTTCAAGATTGCCTCTAAAGTCATAGAAAATTTTCAAAAGAATGGATACTGAACAAAGAGTACTCTTTTCGATAACCCCTTCATCATCAGGCTCTACAGTTATATATACACATTATAGTGAATGAATGAATTAGTGTTATGAACAACAACATTAATGTTGCTGTTTAAATAACATCGAATCAATAATATTGATAGATTACAGCTCAATAGCATCAACATAAAATAAGCTGAATGTCAAAGAAATTAGGAAAGGTAATAGTACAAATTCATGAGTTTATAGTCTCTACTGAAGGCCGGCCAGGGCAGTAGTAAAGGCTGGCTGGACTAACTTCTATCAAACACAGAGCACTGGTTGTTTGGGGTGAATTGCAATAGCCTCTGGTGTTTGGAGCATGCGGTGCTTCGATGATGATTTTGGCAATTTATTAGGCACCCGGTAGATGATGATAGAGAAGGATTCTTCCACGCTGGCTGGCTGGCTTTGTGGCCGGCCGGTTTGCACCAGATGGTTCAATATTGAACTGTTAATAGTTTTCACTACACCTTTACTTAGCCATAGTGGGAGATGTTCTCGTGTGAACACGAAAAATCAAGTTCCTAGAGCAATGGCCAATGTAACTCGCTCCACCACAAGAGCAGTTGAATTGGTAGATACATTTTGAAGTGGCCAGCTAGTCTAGGTACTTCATCTTTCAGTCGAGGAATCATCATCGGTCGTGTAGAGAATAATACGTGTAGTTCGCCAGCATTAAAAGTTCTTTGAACTGATTTTCTTAATTTCCTCGTAATTATCTCACTTGGTATATATCGCCCTTGAATTGTAGTCGTATATAAAAAGGCTTCTTGTTTACAGATAGTGAGTAAGTCCTTTTCCGCCGCTTTCTTTGTCATGTGTTTCTTGATAAATTTGTTGGCATCAAAGTATCATATACAATGCTTAATTCATCTTCAATTACTTCTTCTGAGCATACAGCTCTAACTGACTCTGTGGCTGAGGGTCTTCAGCCAGACAGTTTCATGCAAAACAGCAAGTATACAATGAATTGAGGATTAAATCAAAATGATCTCTTCTTAATTCATAAGAAGTAAACTTTAAAGAACCGACACCGATAACTGCTAACTTAATTTGATGGTCACACTTGCATATCGCTGTAATCCATCGAGTTACACTGGCTGGGAGGAATGTTCCTACAGGTCACATCATGTCAAAAATGCTGTTCAGTTACCAGTTAGACTTAAAAAAAAATTACCAACATGGAGTAAGTCTTTTATATCATATCGCGGGAGTCATAGGGCAAAGTCATACTGCTAATGAATAGTCGTGTAAGGTGTTTCTTTCAGACAGGTGGCATGTCAGCTTTGCTGTCTTCCCTCCACTCTAAGGACGCGATCGCCCTCGGAAATTGTACATACATATGGCGACCAGTAACCAGCAATAAGGTCTTCATACGCAGGTTTTTCACCAAATTTACTCAACAACCAACTAGGAAACATTTGTAAAAAATTATATTTGTGAACTCTCAGCGAAATTGAAATGAGTAATTCCAACGTTTCGTTCGGCAATCTGGTCCGAACTTATTCAGGGAAATTAATCAAAATTAACATGACAGAGGTTTATAAATAAAAAAAAAGGAACATCACTTGTTTTTAAAAAATTTGTCCAATCACGATTCATAAAACAAGTATTAACAAATATAATAAACAAAATTGTATCAGCTGTGATCAAAATTTGACCTCGGACTTACAAATATTGGTCTACCGTTGTTAAACACTTTAAACAGAGTATGTATGTGTGTGTGAGTGAACAGTTGTAAAACATTTCTTAACGTCTCCATAAGAAGATATAGACAGTCAGGAATTTTGACCAAGTATTAATAATTAGTGATACATATCCATTTTTTATTTATTAATCAGGATTTCCTATGCATCAGCTAACATCACACCTTTATGTCTGTCCCTGAAGAAGTTCGGACCAGATTGCTGAACGAAACGTTAGAATTACTCATTTCATTCTCGCTGAGATTTTACAAATATAATTTCTTACAAATGTCTACTTCTCACTCGGCGCCCAAATATTTTAGAACTATTCTGTCAAATCTTGATAACAGTTCATTTGAACCAACTAGGAAGTTTTAAAACTAAACTAGGAGTTACATCTACAGTATCGTATGACAACATATGCTACTGACAAAATCTTGTAAATAGTACATTGTGTGTGAAGTCTTCTCAAAGAATCCTCAGTAGCGAAGCAGAGGAAAAAGTTGAAAAGAGGAGAAATGATGAAAAAAAGAAGCGCAATAAGAATAACTTCTGAAAATTGAAGTCTCGATGTTAGGTCGCTTATATTTTCCCGTCAGTGTACATCATTTTACCAAAAAAAAAAGAAACCCGGGTATTTTCTACAGTCGTTACATGATAATTTAATGAAATCGCTATATAACCATTACCACTTCCATGAGAAACTAAACACATTGAGTAACGCTCAAATCATATTGTATCTAACTGTAAGAAGTAGTACCCTCACATCTACAAAGCCAGAAAAACACACCATTTTAGATATAAATAATCTCAGAGAGAGAGAGAGATTAATCAACTAACAGACTATGTATGATAGCATATTAATAAAACTAGAACTGATTGCTAAGAAAATTAAAAGAGTGGCTCAATGGCCTTGTAACCAGGTCCTGGGTTCGAACCCAGGTGGGTGCGTACTGCTGCAGAGTCTCGAACTAGAACAAAACAGCTGTCCAGTACTCCCAGCTGGTTTTCCAGTGGTTCTCTAACTGATGTCAGCTCATGATGAAATCCTCCATGCAATCAAAACAAAAATCCCTACAAAACCAATACTTGAAAAGTAGTCTTAAAAACACGCATTAACGGTTAGTTTCATTCTAGTTTGAGATGTATTTGATTCACTATCTAACCTTTACTGTGCATACAACCAACTTTGTTTGATTCAACTGCGGTTTTTTATTGGATAAGTGATACAGTTTTGATAAACCGGATTTCATTGTGCATGATGACTTCATAACTTCTTTTATTATAGCTGCCTTCTGTCTATCTATATCCAGTCATTTCGATTCCATGTGTTTGGTGTTGGTTCGATGAAAAAAGACTCGGTGATTAACCCGCACTCTATCTCTCTCTCTACCTAACTATATTACTTTTTAATACTTTTACCTCAACAGGGTCAATCATTCTAGCTATAGCTAAACTTTTATGTTCTGATAATCTAAATGACCCTGATCTACTTACTGGTTTGACCTGTGTAGTTTGACCACACAGTCATTACATGGTACTCTAAGTAAATTGTATTATTTTTTATTTCTAATTGACTCTATCGATATTTTTACGATGACAGAGTTTGTTGATTTAAATGTCACGATAATTTGAGCCTTACTAACAATCTTATAAGTATTTCGTCTTCTCAATTGTTACCAAGGAATAGTCTTATGAGCTTAGAATATGCAGGTGACATTGTCCTGTTAGAGAAGGATGCTGGCAAAATACAGAGTCTTCTCAACATCTTGAGCAGCAATCTTCGTATGTTTGGCATGCGATTCACCCCTGTAAAATGTAAGATGCTGCTACAGGACTAGACTACGTCAACTCCTAGCTTAGTGATAGGGAGTGAAGTGATAGAACATGTTGACCACTTCACCTATTTGGGAAGTTGTATCAGCACCAACGGACTGATTGGTGACGAAATCTCAGCACGGACCCAAAAAACTCGAGCTGCTTTCGCTAACTTACACCATCTCTGGCGTAAGCGTGACATCCGGCTATCGACCAAGGGATGTGTGTACTGCCTAGCAGTTCGCTCCGTCCTTCTCTATGGCTCTGAAACATAGCCAATACGAAAAGTTGAAGACATGAAAAGGTTGACTGTTTTTGATCATAGATGTCTACGATCTCTTTCTCACGTTAGGTGGTATAATAAGGTAAGTAATGTTGACGTCAGGCGTAGAGTGTTGGTTGGGCAAAGAGGGAAAATCAATCGACGAGGCTATAAAGTTACATAGATTGAGATGGCTAGGTCACGTGGTGCGCATGCCTAACCATCGCCTCCCATCACCCGACGGGCATTACTAGGTGATATAGTAGGTGCAGGTTAGAAAAGAGCAAGTGGTGGCCAAACAAAAACATGGCACCAATCAATCCATGAAATCCTTGACAGTTAAACTGAGTCAGGTAGGGAGATGCAGACTTCCGGGTTGGGGCCCGCCCTCGGGACTCTAAGAATCAATGGCTGGAGACAATGGGTGACATGGCTCAAAGTTGTTGTCAGTGGCTTACGCAGATGTATTCAGTCTCTTGTGTAATCTTTCATATCCCTTTGTACCATTAATCATTCTGTTTCACTCTTATACTTGTCAAAACTCTATTCATTCTCTCCACTCATCTTCTTGTCTACCTTTGTGTGCTACTATTTGGAACGTGACAACTGGAACTGCTGGACTTCGGTGCCAAGTTCTATGTTGAATCCAGACAAACAGACAGATTACTACCATTGAGTTTATATATGTTTGAAGAGCTTAGACATGAGTGTGAAGATATTACATATTAAGATAGTCTTTAAACTAGAGCATTTACATACACACACAAAACCATAAACATTAAGAATGACGGAAAAAAAAACACTACAAACCTTTATTCTACACCAATTCGCCGATGGCATATTGAAATAACTGTCGACCAATTGACGTAGTAAGTATAAACTATCATTGAAACTATGAATTATAGCTGTAGATACGCCGTCAGTTGATGATACTTTCATGTTCTTATTCTTATTACTACTTTTTATTTGCATAGTTAATATATCAATACACCAAATAGTGCCGAACAAAGACCAAGCCTTTTGAACAAAGAGAGGGAAAAAAACAAAATAAAAGCGAAGCGCATTAGATGGTTAGGTGTTGGAACAGAACAACAAAGCCAAACAATAGAAAAAAATGAATGGAAAAAACAAACAAAACAAATAGCAACAGTTATATTTGTATAAATGTTGGAGGAGTAGTGTTTTAATATATACTTATAAATATTTGCTTAGCCTGTAAAAAGTGTAATAACGCTTTTATAATGGTAATTGTTATTATTATTATTATAAAAGTACATTCGGAAAAATGACAGAGATATACTATATATATATATAAGATAAAAAGACTGCACAATGAATAACGAATTACGCGCGCGCGCGCACTCAAACACAAACGCCACTGCACACACGCAAACAAACAAACAGATTGGCGAAACTACAATACTAGATGTATCTATTTATATATTTAAACTAGTTTACTATAAGTTTCAGTCTCTGTGATTGAGATAATGGTTCTTTAAATCTCTTGATTATATACTATATATCTATAACTTGAAAGTCGAATATCTGTGAACAACCGTTCCTTGCTTTCCTCTTCACTTCTGTTTTCCATAGAAACATGATCTAAACATTATTCCTGATATATTTTATCTCACTCACCTGTATCAAAATCCTATGAACGCTTAAGCAGTAACACACACAGAGTATATAGCACTGAAGTTCATGGCTTTTCCTTCACACTTCTTATCAAATAATCATTTTGCCCAGCAGGATTATGTGTTTCAAAAAATACACGAAACACTGTGTGCTCCTTAGAGCGTTATAGGGCAACTCTAAAGAATAGCAGTCCAAACCGAAACTAACTAGCAAACGGATAAATGACCTTGAGCAACCAATCAGGTGACTACGTGTTTTCCAGACGTATTTATGTGTGCTTTACACCTTTTGTGTTGCGAATTCGCTCCAGATCTTGTTTTTGATTACTGTTTGGAGAACGGACTGATAGGAATGTCGAAAAATTGCCAATGTGGAAGTGCAATTTATATGCAAAGATACAATAGGTGCATCGATGGGTTTGTTTGTTGGTGAAATGAGTACCGAACCAGAAAATCAGTTAGAGAACGTATGTCGTTCGTTTTCAATTTACAGAGTCCTTAGGTACTTTTGATAAAAAGAAAATATAATCGAGGGAGATTGAATGCGAATCAGCAATAGGTATTGGGGATATATGACACCAGCCTCCAGAAAGGATATATTGAGGCGATCCCTAATCGCAGTGCAGGTGTATTATTGCCTATTATCCAGCGCTTAGTGCTGCCTGGAACAACTATTCATACAGATGAACGGAGTAGTTACAGTCAGTTATCGAATCTGGGCTATATTCATCAAGTGGTCAACCATACAAATGGTTTTCTCAATCCTTTTGATGGAACTCACACTAATTCCATCGAAAGTTTCTGGAGTCACCTCGAAAAACGTATCAGATCTGTGAATGGATCAAGAGATGCAATGATATACAGTTATCTCGATGAGTTTATCTACAGGACTTGGTTTAACATTAGTATCCTATAAGAAATTGGCAGGTTTTTTTGCAACATATATGAGAATGTTGTCCTTTGTAACTATTTTTTAACATTGCATTACTTTTATATAAACGATTTATTACAATTATGCGCCGTTTTTCTGAGCCTTCTGATTGGTCGAAGTTGTCCTTATCAAGGCCATTTGTCCGTTCGCTAGGTACTTTCAGTTTGGGTTGCTATTCTTTAGATTTGCCCGTTATAGGCCTACAATAATGTTAGAAAAAATTATCTAATGATATAGGCTATTTATTTATTTATTTTGATTATAGCTTGATTCTACACCGTATTTTTGGTACAGTTATGGAATTTTCAGCATGTGATATATCGGTAGCCCAAATTTTGCAGACCGACCATAGATGTCAGGTGTGCGTCGACCGGGGATCGAACCCTGGACCATGTACATGGTCGACGAGAGTCATAACCACTGTTCCACCGACGCACTAAATGTAATCGAATAAAATGTAACCATTAATCATGACACTTTCCACTAGTACTAATAAGGTATTTTGCAAACTGCTAACTGAACGTATATGTTGTATAAATATATTAGATTTGATCTTGACTGTAAAACGAACATCAGTGACTATGAGACAATTAAATCCTGTTATACATAAAGTTACTGGTGACCTAACCAGCTAAGTGTTACATAAGTAAATTCGCTAATTTCACCACTGACAATACCAATTTCAAGTTAGCGCTTCTACATGGTTCATAAACTTGGCGTACACATCACCAAAAGTATTTCCAGTCTTCTGTATCCGTGCTGAGATTGGCGTCAGCAAAGGGGTTAGTGTGGAGTGGTCAACACACTCAACCACTTCACTTCCTATCTTTAAGCTAGGAGTCAGTGTTTATTATTATTCTAACTATTACACTGTGAGTAACAATATTATCTTCACTTTCATTTATTATCAAGAAGTTTATGAGGACTTTTAAAACCCTTTAATTCACTGACCTGATGGAATGACTCCAGAGGTAATAAAGTACGGTGGAGACAGTTTACTGTCTGCGTTAACTAAGTTACTAGGTAGTGTCTGGGAATCAAAGGAAGTCCCGTCGGGTTGGTTTAAGTCATTGATTATCCCGATATACAAGAAGGGAGACAAGTCTTCCTGAGATAATCACACAGGGATTAGCATGACAAATACAGTATCTAAAGTCCTAGGCTCAATAATATTGCCTAGAACTGTGCAAAATTCCAAATGGCGAATTGTATCCAGTTAATTACTGTTTCGCCCAAATAACTAGCCAGAATTCTTGTGGTTTCAAGTGAATCAGCCATTTAAACTGACTCATCTGGGGGGAGGGTACAGTACTGATACGCTAGACGCGCCAAACGAGTGAAACAGCCATCCAGGTGTTTAGCTCCATTCGATTTAGCCACCAAGCACTACTAATTGATGTGAGTAGTATTCAAATGGTCATATTTATCAATCCGAAATATACTTTTTTTAATTTCCAAAAGAGTCTGGGGCGATCGATATCTTTCAACTTGGATTGTATAACTTGCTAATGACTAAAATTGACTCTAAAATACAATTCTGTTAGCAAGACACACACACATTATAATAGTTCCCTTGAAAAGTCGAACTAATCAATTGGTGATCTTATTATTGATTATTGATTGTCACGTCTAAATTTAGTTACAAAATCAAAAAAGAAAAAATTCTCTAGATTTACCATTTCGATCTATCTAATCAACGAACGCTTAACTACTAACTATACTATAAATTATAGACTAATGTGAATACAATAAGAAGCCTGCATCTTTGTTCCTATTTGAGTACTTTAATGGCATGAATAGAAAAAAACAAACAAAAAAACAAAACAAAACAAAAGTCATCGAACGGATGATTTAACCAGTAGGTTAGAGCGAGAGAGACAGTACACATATATTTTGTACCCTGTATTCTTATTATTAAAACACACAAAAAAAGTACCAAATGAAAATCAAGTATGCATGAAAAAATCACTGAGCTGAAAACAAACAACTATGCACATATTTATTAATTTGCTTATATAATATAATATTATAATATCATGAAGACTGAATAGTAGTGGCTGTCTGATAATAGTATGGCTTTACAATTCGATTATAGTTTTATGATTAACTAAAGAAAAATATTCATCAACCTTATTCAACAGCTGTACGACAACGGCACATATCAAGTGATCCACAACGGAAAACTCAGCGAGGCGTTTGGAGTAAACACAGGAGTCAGACAAGAGTGCTTATTATCACCAATGATATTCCTATTTGTGGTGGACTGGATTATGCCGTCAGACAGTGGGAAACGAGAAGACAGGGATATCCTGGACCGACGTGAAGAACCTAGAAGACCTGGATTTTGCGCGTGGATGATTTATGTTTGATGTCACACAAAATCGAAGACTTACAAGCAAAAACCGACAAACTGGTCGAAGAAGCAGCCAATGAAAACAGGACTCCAGGTGAACATAGACAAGACGGAGGTAATGAAAATAACCAACCAACAACAACAGCAACATCCAGCGCCAATCACCATCAACGGGAGGGATTTGAAAATGGTTATTTCATTCACTTATCTACTAGGGAGCATTGTCTCAACTACAAGAGGAACGGACGAGGATGTCAAATCGAAAATCGGGAAGGCGAGAAACACATTCATCAACCTGAAACCAATCTGGAAATCTTCGTCACTCAACTCAGCATCAACAACAAAATTCGGATTTTCAATACAAACGTCAAGTCAGTCAGTTCTTCTATAAGGATCAGAAACTTGGCCAGTGTGTCACAAAGAATATTTCCAACAGCCTGTTGCAGACCTTTATCAACAACTGTCTTCGTCGCTCTATACTGAAGATCAGATGGCCGGAAAGAATCACCAACAAGAAACTATGGGAACAAACAAAACAAGAACCAATCGCCCAACAAATATGCAGGAGAAAGTGGAGATGGATTGGACACTCGCTGAGGAGGCCACTGGGTGACATCGCTTGTCAGGCCCTCGAGTGGAACCTGAAAGGGAAGCGGCGAGTGGGACGTCGAAGGGTGACATGGAGGAGATCGTGTGAAGAGGAGCTGAAACAGTATGGACTAACATGGATGCAGGTGAAAAGTACAGCAGAAGACAGAAGCAAGTGGAGATGTGCAGTTGAAGCCCTATGTTCCACTAGGAACCCAAGGGAACAAATAATAATAAAGAAAAAATAAAATAAAATCCAGATATTGAATTTTGTAAGCGATAATTATTATTATTTCCTTTAATTCCTAGAGGAACATAGGGCTTCAGCCGTGCGTCTCCATTGCGTTCGGTTCTCTGCCAACGTTTTCACCTGGCTCCAAGTCTGCCCACATGCTTTCATCTCCTCTTCACATGACCTCCTCCAAGTCACCCTCGCACTGACGACCAACTCGCCACTTCCCTTTCGGGTTCCACTCGAGCAATGGCTTGTCTAGTGATGTCACTTGATGGTTTCCTCAGAGTATGGCCAATCCATCTCCATTTCTTCATGCCTATTTGTTTCACAATCGGTTCCTGGTTGGTTCGCTCCCAGAGATCCCTGTTGCTGATCTTTTCTGGCCGGCCATCTGATCTTGAGTATTGAGCGAAGCGATTATATTGACATGATATTCACATTGTGATGAAAGGAAGTGGAGCAGCACTGGAAAGCAGCACTTCAACCCATCCTTGTTTTTCGATCACTTTCGGACATGGCAGTTGAAAATGGAAGACCTGAAAAGGCTATCAGTCGATGAGGTTGTGAAACCGCATCGGTCGAGATGACTAGGACACGTGTTACACGCATGTCAAGTAATCGCCTTTTTCAACAAGTAAAGTTAGGTGTGTCATAGTGTTAGATAGGAGAAGTTAGGGTTGATGAAATCGAAGCCTCGCATCATCAATCAACCCACTGAAGATTTTAACTGACATAAGTATAAAACTTGGGCACTGTGGTAGAGTGTAACTCCATTATGGATAAGATTTTATTTTGATAAATCACACAGTGTTGTTACACAGTAATATTAACTGATGACCACGTTTCGAGCACAAATTATTGCTCATAATCATATCAAGTCACTTACTCACACAACTTTTTTCCTTCATTTGTATACATGTGTGGAATCAACTAGATATTTAAATAAAAGTCAATATGGGATAATGTACATTCAGAAATAATAATATGAGTGTTATTGATCAATTACAATCAGATGGGAAATAAGACGAGTGTTTTTATAGTCAAAATAAGTAACTTGTTAGAATGCTGTGATGTACGTGATTTGAAACAGAATTTTAAGATTATTTATTATCCTCTTCCATATCTCTGGTATTTGCATTGAGTCATTTCTGTTGCATGTGTTGGGTGTAGACTCGATGAACCAGTCAGGATTCAGTAGTCAACCTCTCCCTCTCCACCTACCTAGATTACTTCTTAGAATCTTAACCCTCTCCCACCATGCTATTGTGTGGTTTTGTGTTAATGCGTGAAGTGCAATTGCTGAGCTTTTTTCTAAATTACTTATCTTCGTGGGTGGGGTCAACCATTCTTCCCTTAGCTAAATTTTTATGTTCCGACAATCTGACTACCCCCCCCCCCCCTGCAATGACTGTGAGGTCAACTATATAGGTCAAACTGGTAGATCGGGGATAATCAGATTGTCGGAACATAAACATTTAGCTAAGGGAAGAATTGTTAACCCCACCCGAGAAGATAAGTAATTTAGAAAAAAGCTCAGCGATTGCACTTCACGCATTAACACCAAACCACACAATAGCATGGTGGGAGATGGTTAAGATTCTAAGAAGTAATCTAGGTAGGTGGAGAGAGAGGTTGATTACTGAATCCTGGTTCATCGAGTCTACACCCAAACACACATGCAACAGAAATGACTCAATGCAAATACCAGAGATATGCATGGAAGATATTATTACCACCAGTCAGTCAAATCAGAGGAGGATAATAAATAATCTCAAAATTCTATTTCAATTCAAACACATCACAACATTCTAACAAGTTACTTATTATGACTGTAAAAAACACTCGTCTTATTTCCCATCTGATTGTAATTGATCAATAACACTCATATTATTATTTCTGAATGTACATTATCCCATATTGATTTTTATGCCAATATCTAATCGATTCCACACAGGACTTTAACTGATGGTTTGAGCTAGCTATGTAGGGAGGTGAAAACTGCCTGCTTAGGGTTTTCAGAATGCTGAGGGATCAATCGCTTGAGATTGTTGGTGATATAGCTCCAAATCATTTTCAATGACACAGGTACATTCACTCTTTATAATCTTCTAGATGCATTAAGTTCCCATGTTTTTTTTAAATGTTACTATTATTTCTCTTGCACACTTTTTTCCCTCCATTTCTCTACGTTTGTGCGTCATATAGAGTGTGGCGACTTGAACTGCTGCACTAATTTCAATGTACAATTCGTCATGAAACAACATGAGTTGAATAAACCTTTTCTCCCTCCTAGTTTTGATCTCTACAGCAGTGAGCAGCAGTGATGACCTCCTCACTAGAATATCAATCTCGAACTAATCAGCCACCCACTGGCTAGATGTCCTGACGTTCTAAATAAGAAATCATATGACCATTGGTGTCCCACATGTCACGGTGCTAAGCGGATGCTCATCAATGGGTGAGGGGGGATATTGGTTGGGTACAGTGTTTTATTGTGTGAATTGACAAATGTTAGAATTCACACGTCATTGGATTACATACAGTTCAGTGGTTGAATGGTCAGTCAACTGACCAATCTTGTAACCTAAAGGTCCTGAGAGGTTTGATCCCTGGTGTGAGATAGATCATGGATGCACAGCAAAACAACTGCCCCATGTCCCTTTGTGTTTTCAATGCTTCTCTAACAGATGTTAGTTTGCGCCGAAAGCTACATTGAGATGAACAAGTTAATAATCGATTCAGAGAAACTGAAAAATGTTCACATCATTGTTATGTGGAGAAGAGAATGAAACATTTTCTAATCTGAAAAAAACAAATAAACAAACAAACTTCATACACTTATTCCTCTTAAGGAATTTGAAGAAAGCAAGAGCTACAGTTTTAGCAGAATAAAATGGTACCATCTTTTATTTCGTTGCCTTCTCGTCAGCTGCTTACATGGCAAAGACATTATTAAATGTATCTACAAAAACAATTTTAACATACTTGCACAGAGTTCATTTTAAACTAAAATCAATCGATCAATATACGCACACAGTTATAATATATACATATATATGTAATATTAAGCACTATTCCGAACAATAATAATCATACACAATGAAAACTTTTCAGCACTACGCATTCGAATGAAAAATCTCCAGTTACCAGGGCAATTTACATGTATCTGCTGGAGCAGTTACATTGGAAGAAGAGAAAGAAGGGCATATCTACGATTTTCTGAACATGTACCAAAAAGCCTACGCCTAAAGGGAACAAATGCTTTAAACAGTGCCATCGCCAGTCATCTCCTCGATACGGGTCATGAGATGGACGTCGAAAAGTCGTTCAAAATTATCAATAGGCAAAAGAGCTCAATTCTCCTTACGTTTGCTGAAGCCATTTCCATCAAGCACCTGAAACCTGATTTGTGCGTTCAGAAAGAAGCGGTTATCAGTCTTTTTTTGCCCTGGTAACTGGATGTTTTTCACCCGAATGCGAGATACTGAAAAGTTTCCATTGCGTATGATTATTATTGTTCGGAATAGTGCTCAATATTACATATTATGTATATATTATTAGTGTATGCGTATATGGATCGATTGATTTTTGTTTAAATGAAGTCTGTGCAAGTATGTTGAATTATTTTTGTAGATACATTTAATAATGTTTTTGCCTTGTAAGCAGCTGACGAGAAGGCAACGAAATAAAAGATGGTACTATTTTATTCTGCAAAAACCGTAGTTCTTGCTTTGTTCAAACAAACAAACATTTGACACGTTCCACTTATTTGCCCTCGTATTTCAAAAACAAGAATATTATATTATAATTATAAGAGATTACCAAATAATTGAATCGCATATAATCCAATTGAGGATTTGTTTGCAGACTGGTATCATCTCCAGTTTGTACAGTATTGATATTTCCACATAATTTTGCAAGATTTCTTAGTGATGCACAGACAACACGTAATGACATATGACAAGGTGACTGACATTCCGATGAACGAGAACTGTAAACAAAATTAGAAAAAAAAGACAGAAGTATGTAAATAATAATAATAACAATAATAATAATAATAATAATATCTTGACTAGTAATTAACTGATGTACTTTTACCTACTCTAGATTGTTCAATTACAGTCAGAGATGTAATTAGCGAGGAAAGCAGTGTTGTCTTGTTATCTGTGCATATGGACGGATGGATGCAAACGAGATACAAGTGAAGATCAATTATACAATCGATTGCGGAACCTTTGTCACTAATTTCTAGGGGTAGAGCACGTTGACCACTTCACTTACTTGGGAAGTACCATCAGCCAGTGCCAACGGGTTGATCTCTGACGAAATCTCAGCACGGATACAGAGGGCTAGTTTCGCATATGCCAGTTTACTCCGTCTCTGGCTTAGTAGACGTGATATCCGACTATCGACCAAAGGGCGTGTGCACTGCTCATCAGTCCGCTCCGTCCTACTTTAATGGCTGTGAGACCTAGCCATTGAGAGTGGAAGACATGAAAAGATTAGCTGTCTTTGATCATAGGTGTCTACGTTCTATCTCCCGTGTTAAGTGGTATAATAAGGTGAGCAATACTGAAATTAGGTATTAGTCGAGTGCTAGGTAAGGAGGGGAAATCAATCGACGAGGCTGTGAAATTACATCGATTGAGATGGTTAGGACATGTGTTACGCATGCCTAGCCGTCGCCTTCCTCGACGGGCAATGTTAGCTGACATAGGGTCAGGCTGGAAAAGAGCTAGCGGCGGTCAAACCAAAACATGGCACCAGTCAATGAAATCTACAACAGTTAGTTTAAGCCGGCCAACCACGTAGGAAGGTGTAGATTCCCTGGTTGGGGTCCTCGGGACAGTAAACACCAATGGTTGGAAACAATTGGTGACATGGCTCAAAATCGTTCTCAATAACTAGCGCACATGCATCCACTCCTTGTGACTTATGATTTCCAATGAAACTGTTTTGTTCTTCGTTATTACTATTCCTTTGTCTCACACCTCTGTTTACTGTCTATATTATGCATTTCTACTTTCTTCTCTATGTGTGCTATATGGAGTGTGGCGAATTGAAATGCCGCACAAATGTGCAAAGTTCTATGTCGAAAACAGACAGACAGACAATTTCTAGGGGAATTGAATGAGTATTCTGAGATGCATCGGTTATGCGCCTAGTCATCACCCCATAAATAATCTGTGTGTTTCTGTCAACGATATGTTAAATAGTATGGATCTTTGAAATTTTATATTACAGTAGGGTCCGTATAAGGTTCACCTATATTTTGAAAGCTTTATACAGACTCACCTCTTGTAGAGTAACGGCATAATACAATACTGTTGAAAACTATCAAGATAATTTGACATGTTACCCTATGTGAAGGTTAGATAAACCAAAGCAGTGAGTTACATCAGCTGTGTGAGTGATACCAAAAATCAAGTCACTGACAAAACTTAGGTAAGTGAAGTGAACACAAGATCTCAGGCGAGCACACACTAAAACTGTTCAATACCCCCCCCCAAGTTTATAATTATTATTAATGATTAGCATTCCACCCTTGAGGTTCTATGGTCGGTCGGTTTTCCACATAGAACTTTGCACATATGTGCGGCAGTTCAAGTCGCCACACTCCTTGTAGCACACAAAGCAAGAGAAGGAAGTAGAAGAAATGCATAATGGAAACAGTAAACAGAGGTGTGAGACAAAGGAATAGTAATAACGGAGAACAAAACAGTTTAATTGGAAATCATAAGTCACAAGGAGTGGATGCATCTGCGCTAGCCATTCAGAACGATTTTGAGCCATGTCACCAATTGTTTCCAACCATTGGTTTTTACCGTCCCGAGGACCCCAACCAGGAAGCCTACATCTTCCTACGTGGCTTAGATTAACTGTTGCAGATTTCATTGATTGGTGCCATGTTTTCGTTTGACCGCCGCTAGCTCTTTTCCAGCCTGGCCCTATATCAGCTAACATTGCCCGTCGAGGAAGGCGATGACTAGGCATACGTAGCACATGTCCTAACCATCTCAGTCGAAGTAATTTCACCGTTTCGTCGATTGATTTCCCCGCCTTACCTAGCACTCGACGCCTAACCTCAATATTGCTCACCTTATTATACCACTTCGCGCGGGAGAAAGAACGCAGACACCTATGATCGAAGACAGCTAATCTTTTCATGTCTTCCACTCTCAATGGCCAGGTCTCACAGCCATAAAGGAGGACGGAGCGGGCTGTTGAGCAGTACACACGCCCTTTGGTCGGTAGTCGGATATCGCGTCTACGCCAGAGACGGCGAAAACTGGCGAATGCGAACCTAGCCCTCTGTATTCGTGCTGAAATTTCGTCTGAGATCAACCCGTTGGGGCTGATGGTACTTCCCAAGTAATTGAAGCGGTCAACGTGTTCTACCACTTCACTTCCTATTTCTAATCTAGGGGTCGATGAGGTCCAATCCTGCAGCATCATCTTACATTTTACAGGGGCGAATCGCATGCCAAACATACGGAGATTGTTGCTCAGGCTGTTCAGTAGACTCTGCATTTTGTCAGAGTCCTCGCCTAGAAGGACTATATCGTCCGCATATTGTAAGTCAACGAGATTATTCCCTGGTAGCAAGTCAATCCCTGAGTCGCTGAAGTGTGATAGGGTTAAATCCATTAGTACGTCTATGATGAAATTGAATAGGAATGGGGATAATGGGCATCCTTGACGGACGCCACTAGTCGTCACCACTTCAGATGACAACTCGCCATAAGCCCTCACCTGGCTGCATGAGTATGAGTAGAGTGCCTTAATCAGTGCAATGTATTTTCTTGGCGTCTCTGAGTGGAGCAACAAAGATTCAGCAACACATCTTCACAACTACTCACAAGCCTTCACTTCATCTGTACATGATCTTCTCTATGTCACTCCCAGACCTACACCAAACTCACTCACCACTTCCCATTTGGATTCCGTTCAAGGGCCTGGTGTGTGTGTGTGTGTGACGAAACTCAACAATCTCCTCCTCAGTAGTGTATGTCCAATTAGTCTCCATTTCCTTCTGCAAAATTTGTTAGACAACAGGTTGTTAGCTGGTTTTTATTGCTTATTCTTCTCAGCCGGTTATATGATCACAAGTTTCGAGTGAAGGCATCTATTGATGAAAATCTGCAGTCTGGTGGAAATACTTTTGGTGACCCATCAAGCTTCTGAGCTTTATAGATAGAAGCACTGACTTTAAATTAGTGTTACACAGCATTCGGATCCAGTTCCTTGTGCTGTAGATCTGCAGACTGGCTTCTGAATAGGAACAGTATGTCTTGCCTTTTCGATTTCACCCTTTGGCATCCTCATCCCAGCTACGTGCCTGTAGTTGAAAACGATGCTGTCTCTTCAAGTAAGTGAGAGAAAAATTCCTTTAGACAAATCCCCTTGCGTTGATAGTGACTGGTGGTTGTTGGGTATCCTCATCACCTCTGCTTTCTCTATGCTAACTTGAAGTCCTGTTTCAGCTGCCTTTTCTGACAACTTGTTGGTTTTTGCTTGTATATCTTTGAGATTATGTGACATTAGACAGTCAACCATTCTTACCTTAGCCAAATTCTTATGTTCCGACAATCTGATTACCCTCGATCTACTAGTTTGACCTATATAGTTGACCTCACTGACAGTAATTGCAGGGTATTTTGTAAATTATATTATTTTGTTTAATTGGGTCCACCTGGTCTTTTAGCCTACAGAGCTTGTCCTATCTGAGTGAGTTTGTAGGTTTGAATGCCACCCTAATTCCTGCTTTATTAAGAATCCTACGTAGGGTCTCAGATGTCCCCTCCTTATATGGTATAACAGTAGATGACTTATATTCTCTCTTATTTATGTTATCACTACTAATTTCACAATTATTTTTATTTTGCTTTTGGCCTTTACTGATCTTCCTAATGAATTTTATAGGATAGTAGCAGTAGCACTAAGTAGCACAAAAAAGACCTAAATGATGAAATGAAACAGATAGAAGAAGCGTTGGTATCAAATAACTATCCTATAAAATTCATTAGGAAGATCAGTAAAGGCCAAAAGCAAAATAAAAATAATTGTGAAACTAGTAATGATAACATAAATAAGAGAGAATATAAGTCATCTACTGTTATATCATATAAGGAGGCGACATCTGAGACCCTACGTAGGATTCTTAATAAAGCAGGAATTAGGGTGGCATTCAAACCTACAAACTCACTCAGAGACAAGCTCTGTAGGCTAAAAGACCCGGTGGACCCAATTAAACAAAATAATATAATTTACAAAATACCTTGCAATGACTGTGAGGTCAACTATATAGGTCAAACTAGTAGATCGGGGGTAATCAGATTGTCGGAACATAAGAATTTAGCTAAGGTAAGAATGGTTGACCCCGAGAAGATAAGTAATTTAGAAAACAAAACTCACGCATTAACACACAATCACACAATAGCATGGTGGGAGAGGGTTAAAATTCTAAGAAGTAATCTAGGTAGGTGGAGAGAGAGATTGATTACTGAATCCTGCCTGGTTCATCGAGTCTACACCCAACACACACATGCAACAGAAATGACTCAATGCAAATACCAGAGATATGGAAGATATTATTACCACCAGTCAGTCAAATCAGAGGAGGATAATAAATAATCTCAAAATTCTATTTCAATTCAAACACATCACAACATTCTAACAAGTAACTTATTATGACTATAAAAACACTCGTCTTATTTCCCATCTGATTGTAATTGATCAATAACACTCGTATTATTATTTCTGAATGTACATTATCCTATATTGATTTTTATTCAAATATCTAGTCAATTCCACACATGTATATAAATGAAGGAAAAAAGTTGTTGAGTGAGTAACTTGATATGATTATGAGTGGCAATAATTTGTGCTCGAAACGTGGTCATCAGTTAATATTACTGTATAACAACACTGTGATTTATCAAAATAAAATCTTATCCATAATGGAGTTATCTTGGAGATTATGCGTCATTAGACATAGATGATGTGCGAAGTCCAGATTTTCTGGAGTCTTTTTTATCGATCCAACGTATGCTTGTCTACTCACCCTCCCCCCCCACAATCTGTTGAATGATCCAGTTTACCATAACCAAAAATATTAAGCTGAATAAGCCATAACACCAAAAGAAACACTACACACGTTAATCAAATAACTTACGTATGAATCACTGATAGCACTTTAACTAGATCGCCTAGATAAGAACATTTCAATAATGATTCAGGCACATAGTGATAATGTTTGGATTCTCCATTCATAGGTTTGTTTCCATTACTTTCAGTACACAATGATTCAAGCGGCAATTCGATTTGATCACATCTATACTGCCATAGAATAGTTAACATTTGAGCCCACCAATGAGCACATGAAACTTGATCATCAGTTTCTTCTACGAAAAACGAAAAGAAATTCTCACATTAGTATGATTATTTACAAATATGACAAGAATGTATAAACAATATGAAGTCATACTGAAGTCTACGCCGAAGGTGTTGTCTAGAAAGACAAAGAAAAGCCTCTCAGTGACTGAGTTTCAACATAGAACTTTCTACAGAAACGAAGAAGTCCAACTGGCTACACTCTATGTATAGTACAAAAAGGTAGAAATAGAGAAAAAACACACCTGCAGCGATGAGAACGATTTTGGGCCATATCACCAATAGTCTCCAACCACTGGTTCTTAGGCATCCCGAGATCCTCAACCAAGCAGTCTACATATCCCCCTACATGGCTCAAACCAGCTGTCAAAGACCTCATACACTGATGACCACCTCCCCCTAGCTCTTTTACAACCTAACACTATGTCAGCCAGCTAACACTGTACGACGACGAGTAAGGCAGTAGCGAAAGCTTCAAAATAAACCACGGAACTCAGACAACACAATCATATCAAAATCAGGCAAAGTGTTAAACTTTAAGCACCACTAACTACCAATCAGCAAATGGCCTCGAAAGCACCAATCACGTGAAGGAGGCATTTTTGTGTATGGAATACATATATTTATGAAAAAATTGCATAAAAACTGTATAAAAGTGTTACAGAGGATAGCTTCCTCTCACATGGGATAAAAATAGTTCTCAGTTTTAGGTTGGTGTATCAACAACAGAGTATAATTCCATTGTGGGTAAAATTTATTTTGATAAAGTTTCATAGTGTTATACAGCAATATTTACTGAGCAATAGATTGTGCTCGAAACGTCATCAGTAAATATTACTACTGCATAACACTGTGAGACTTTATCAGAAAAAATTTTACCCACAATGGAATTAAACTATACCACAGTGCACAAGTTCTATTCTTACGTCAACAGAGTAATTTAACCACATTCTATGCATGTAATTATTTAGGTCTTCTAACCCTAACAACAACCCTAATCTTTCCTGAACCTAAACCCTAAAGTGAAAATATCCCTAAACTAACTGTAATCTAACTCGAACCAACCCTAATGTCGTCTTTATTAGGTTAACCTAACCCTAACTTGTCCTTGGCTTGAAGAGTAACTTAATCTTTCTCAAAAACCTAAGCTGAAACTTGCCAGATATCCCATTTAATAACATAATACTTCGATGAGCATATTTTATTAATGATGACAATATTATTTGCCGAATTCCACCAACTTGCTCAGTGAGCTTTTCAAGATCATCATCACTTCACCTACAAATCTCCCCTATCATTTCAAAATAAAATAGTTGTTGAGAGAAAACAAAGAGGGTCACTTGATTATTGTAGAATACAGAAAAGGGTCTCTCACAGACACTGAATCAATTAAATAAACAATTAGTGATAAAAAACAATCAAATATTTTGACACAAAACATACTAGAATATTAAAAATAAATAAGTCAATATAGAAATACAAACTAACATATATGAAGTGGTTATTGGGTAAGAAAACCTATCGACCAACTAACTAACTCTGTGTGTGTGTAATGTGTTTAGACAGTAAGTAGTAGTAGTAACACTAGCGAATTTGATAATGTGGTGTGTGTTAAATGTTAAGGTTAAATCAGTAGGAAGTTCTGGCCTATTTACTTTACCCTTGTTGTACTTTATTTTTTGTTATTGTGAAGGAGAAAGGTGTCTTGAAAACCTCGAAAAATTCCACAGTATAAAAATATACACTTCACAGGTGATTGACTGAGTAGCGCTGTAGAATATTACAAGTTCACAGTAAATTTTCGGCCTTCATATATACTGTAAAAAATTATATTTGTAAAATCTCAGCGAGATTGAAATGAGTAATTCCAACGTTTCCTGTGTTCGGCAATCTGATCCGAACTTATTCAGAGAAATTAATCGAAATTAACATAACAGAGGTTTATGTATAAAAGGAACATCACTTGATTTTAAAAAACTTTGTCCAATCATGAGTCACTCAACAAGTATCAACAAGTATAATAAACAAAATTGTATGAGCTGTGATCAAAATTTGACCTCGGACTTACAAATATTGGTCTACCTTTGTGAAACACTTTAAACAGAGTGTGCATGCATGTGTGAGTGAACAGTTGTAAAACATTTCTTAACGTCTCCATAAGAAGATATAGACAGTCAGGAATTTTGACCAAGTATTATTATTAATTAGTGATACATATCCATTTTTATTTATTAATAAGGATTTCCTATGCATCAGCTAACATCACGCCTTCATGTCCGTTCAAACTGCTAGTATCTAGAATTTTATGATTAGACGTATTTTCAAAATTATGGTGTTTAGGATTAGAGTTTAGTTTAAGCACCCTGTCGGACTTATTGCTTTGTCTTCATTCTGAAGATTGAGCTGCTTTATTCGACCTACTGGAGTTGTCAGGTGACTCGACAGCTACGGATTTAGGATATGCATTCCGTTGCAGACAATGGAGAGTGAAAACACGATGATTGTGCCAATTACACAGTTTCTTTGTTAATTTAATTCAATTGCAAAATAATTCAAATGAACTGTCGTGAAGATTTGACAGAATATTTCTGAAATATTTGGGCGCCGAGTGAGAAGTCGACATTTGTAAGAAATTATATTTGTAAAGTCTCAGCGAGATTGAAATGAGTAATTCCAACGTTTCGTTCGGCAATCTGGTCCGAACTTCTTCAGGGACAGACATAAAGGTGTGATGTTAGCTGATGCATAGGAAATCCTTATTAATAAATAAAAAATGGATACGTATCACTAATTAATAATAATACTTGGTCAAAATTCCTGACTGTCTATATCTTCTCATGGAGACGTTAAGAAATGTTTTACAGCTGTTCACACACACATACACACTCTGTTTAAAGTGTTTCACAAAGGTAGACCAATATTTGTAAGTCTGAGGTCAAATTTTGATCACAGCTCATACTATTTTGTTTATTATACTTGTTGATACTTGTTGAGTGACTCATGATTGGACAAAGTTTTTTAAAATCAAGAGTTGTTCCTTTTATACATAAACCTCTGTTATGTTAATTTCGATTAATTTCTCTGAATAAGTTCGGATCAGATTGCCGAACACAGGAAATGTTGGAATTACTCATTTCAATCTCGCTGAGATTGTACAAATATAATTTTTTACAAATGTCTACTTCTCACTCGGCGCCCAAATATTTTAGAACTTCATATATACTGCTATAATAGAATAGTTTTATTTGACACACGAATCTTCTCACGCATGCATGAAGTATGTAAAAACACGAATTAGTTAAAACTCGACTACAGGGAACAGGTTTCAGATGAACTAGTTTAAGAGCTATACATATTATGTGTTTAGATATGATAGAGAAGATTTGTAGGTCAGGTGGATGATTTTGATGTGGTTGTGTTCTCTGAGCTGGATAGTTAATTTGCGAAGCTTTCATCACCCTGCTGGGTGACATCTTCAGCGCATACTTCAAATTGAAGTCTTACTTTTCACATCCTGGCTAGCTTTGACATCTTCATCTGTGCCATCTGTCTGTTCAGGTAAGTGAAAGAGACAAATTCTTTTTCGATTCCTCCTACTGATGGTGGTCATTGATGCTTGCTGTTGTTTGTTTTTTTTTTCGTTAAATATCTTCATCACCCTTTGCATTATGATCTAATTATTACCAAGAACTTATCCCGGAATAGATAGGTAGATAGACAGATGAGCTATTGTAGAGAAGTAGGTGTGTAACGGTAGGAGACAACAGACTTGGTAAAGGAATGTTCATTTGGAATTTGGTTTCGCTATATGTAACGAAATTATGTACACCTTATCGTCAAATCACCATTTGCACAGATCTTCCGTGTTGTGCTACTTCTGGCCTTCCTTTATATTGTGTTTCTTTGTCTTCCTTTTCACGTCTCCGTTGTTTCTCCGCAGAGCTAAATCATTTGCTTTCTCTTACGTCAAATCTACTTCCCTGCTATTTGATGTTTTTATGCCGCTGATTTATTTATTATTACTTTTTATTCCCTTGGGTTCCGAGTAGAACATAGGGCTTCAACAACACATCTTCACTTGCTTCTATTTTTTGCCATCCTCTTCAGCTGGGTCCACGATTGACCATAACCTCTCACGATCTCCTCCATGTCACCCTCGCATCGACGACCCACTCGTCGCTTCCCATTTGGATTACACTCGAGTGATAGCCTGGCGCGCGATGTCATTCGACGCCTCTCAGTGTATGCCATCTCCTTTTTTTGATGGTTCGTCTGCTCGCACAGTTTCTTGTTACTAATTCTTTATGGCCATTTGATCTTCAGTATAGAGCCAGCAAAGGCAGTTGTTGATGAAAATTCTGCAACCTGTTGGAAATCCTTTTCGTTACACGTAGTATATAAGCTTCTGAGTAACATCACATTTCTGTTGAAAATCCGAATCTATTTTTCTTTATCCTGAAGCGGAGTGCAGAAGATTTCCAAACTGGTTTCAGGTTGGTTGATGAAGACATATTTGGCCTTTCCGATTCCAACTTTCACAACATCTCCATCCGTCCCACCCAGCTGTGGTTGAAACAATGCTTACTGCTTAGATAAGTGAAGGAGGTAACCTCTGTTAAATCTCTCCCATTGATGGTGATTGGTGCTGGTTGTTGTTGTTACGGTTCGTTGGTTATCTTCATCACCTCCGTCTTCACTATGTTCACCTGCAGTCCTGTCTTCGCTGCCAGCTTCTGAAGCCAGTTTGCTGGTTTCCACCTGTAAGTCTACGAGTTTGTGCGCCATTGAACACAAATCATCCACGCGCGAAATCCAGACCAGCACATCATTCCCGTTTCCTCGTTCCCCACAGTCTGACACATAATCCAGTGCACCACAATTAAGAATATCATCGGTGATAATACGCAGGTGAACGTCTTTTTATATACTACTGATAAATCATATCACAGTAGCATACGCCACAGGTTTATACATCCTTCTTCGCTTATAACCCACACGCACACACACACAAACACAACAGTCTATGAAATATTTGTAAACAAAGCTTTAAAAAACTCTAGATACAGAGAATTTTCATTCTTCTTGTACACACACACACACAAAACACACAAACTTGTACATAACAAAGTTGCTATTGTCTTTACATATTGTTTTTACATATATCCAGCAGCAAATAACAAGGAGAAAGAAGAACCAAAGAAGAAAGATTTCTTCTTTTTTTTTAAAGTGTATAGATAAATCAACTAAGACTAAGAAAACTACTAAACAGAACAACAGAAGTAGTTATCACCAGATGTTGTAGGATGATGTTTTCATCGCATTCTGTGTCTGTTTTGTTTTGTTTTGTTATTTTATCTCTTACACAGTTGAATTGAAGGTATTTTAGACTTGTTGAAGAAGATATAGAAGAAGAATGAGAACAAGAACTGTTTATCAAAAGTAGTGAATAACAAAGGCCCTCATAAAATAATGAAGGTTACGCTAATTAGACGGATGGAGATGGAGGTTGTACAGAATAGAGAGAGAGTGAAAGAGAAAGAGAGCAAGTGAGTGTGAGAGTGAGAGAGACAAAAGTGAGTAAATTACAAGAGATTAAATAAAAATACACAACAAAGGCCAACAGTCAAAAGCATATTATAGTTATATATACAAGCGGTGTACACTGAGCACAAAACACACACATACACGGATAACAATAATTATTAATGAGACAGACTTATTATATAATACGTATATATATATATATATTAACACTAACCGTATTCACTTTCGCCAACTGCATTAGTAAACTTCTTATCATAATAAGTATCCAATGTCGGTGAAAGCTCAGCCAGTAAATCAATATAACATTTTAAACTTTTCACTTGATTCAATTCACCATAGAGTATAATCTAATGAGTAAAGACAGATAAAGTGAGAATAATAATAATAGTAGTAATAATAATAATAATGGTGAATTGTAAAGAAGGATGGCAGTTGTTGAAAGCAAACAAGACATCATCCAGAATTACGTTATTATCGCAGATAACGAAAGTGTCGTCTACGTATCATCTTTTATAAATAAATGTCAAAATGATCGATGGTTTGACTAAGTTGAGAATTTTCAAGCTTTGCCACCATAGAAAAGGAATCCTTAGCAGACGTAATGGGATCTCTGGGAGCGAACCAACCAGGAACCGATTGTGAAGCAAATAGGCAGGAAGAAATGGAGATGAATTGGCCATACTCTCAGAAATCAAACCATCAAGTGACATCACTAGACAAGCCATTGCTAGAGTGGAACCCGAAAGGGAAGCGGCGAGTTGTCGTCAGTGCAAGGTGACTGGAGGTCATGTGAAAGGAATGAACGGTGGGCAACTTGAGCCAGGTGAAACTCTATCAGAGACCGAAGCAATGGAGACACACGGCTAAGCCCTATGCTCTCTAGGAAAATAGAAGATGTAATGACGGACGGAAACGTACCTGGAACGGACAACTAACTAATTTTTACAGTTGGGTGCCTATTTCCAGGAAAAGGAACCGAATTCATTCACTCGCTCTGCTTTAGGATAAGGAAAATTTGTAGTTCTGATTCCGTTGACTCAGAACTTGACTTCTTAAAAGCCACGCTCGCAGAAAAAACGGTTACCCTAACCGATTTATTGATAGCGACATGAAAGATAAGCAGTCTAAACTGGTCACCGACTCAGTTCCAAAGAAAACCTTATTCATGAACTTGGAATTCAAAGGTGGTGATCAAGCTTCAGATATGCTCAAAAATCGTCTCTCTAAAGCAGTCAGTAAGACGTTCTTTGCAGCAAAATTACATATGACGTTCACTAGCCGCAAATTGTTCTCTACCTCTGTAAAAGATAAGCTCCCCCGTCCGGCCGCCTCCATGTGCATCTATCAGTTCACCTGCTCTTGTGGAGCAAGGTACATTGGCCGTAGTCAGGAGACGCTTTCCACACGGATACGAGAACATATTCCAGCATGGTTTTACAAGGGAGAAAGGAAGTGTGTGCGAAGCTCTATTCTGGAACACCTGATCGACTTCTGTCACTCTGTCAACCCTGACCATGATTTCAAGATCATATATAGAATCCATGCTAACTTCCCGCGTTTTCTTCGTTACAGACTTCTAAAGACAGCTGAGGCCTTGGCAATTCATGACTTTAAGCCAGACCTTTGTGTACAAAAGAAGTATGTACAATCCCTACTTCTGCCTTGGCCGTAGAGGGATAGACATTTATTTATTTTGTTTATTTAGTTATCCTATGTACTTTTCCATTATTACTACGATTATTATTATTATTATTATCATTATTATTATTAGTATTCTCACTCTGAATCTTTTCCACTTGACCTACTTGTCATTTTAAACCCAAAATTATTAATTTTTATATTTTTATTTTTACAATATTGAATTCTATCTTATCAAATTTCACACCATGTTATGTAGCATTTTATATTCGTCTACTAATCTTATAATTATGTACCCCTTTCCAAAATCTATACACCTTATGTATTATTCTATATACGACATTAATTATTTTGCCACTTGACATTAAACTATGATTATAATCACAAATATTTTAATTGCATTTCATACTATTATTATTTCATGTATTCACACCTTTGACCTAATTCCCTCACCAGATATAATTTCTTAAAAACCATATATATACGATTGTACAGCTTGATAATAAATTCGTTGTTGGAGAGAGTCTCTTCGCTGAATATTGTGTTCTTAATGCTACAATGGGAATTATTAAATTATTGAAAATACACCAAAGCTTTAACAGCAATCCTTAAGGGGAAAAAAAGCCTGGACTTTGTGTTTAGAAACGTTTTTTTATCCAGCCTTAATATTGTACTACCGTGACCTTAATGTCAATTTTTTTCTTTCTGTATAATAAAATTTTGTAATCTACTTGCAAACCTTTGTTCACACTTCTTTCCTATCAATTATTTTCAAATGATTATTCCCATGGTAAAAATTTAGAACAAACATTTAAGCGAACAGTATTTTCTTAATTAATGATTAGATTTCATCAGGCTTAACTCCAGTATATCTATATAACTTTACAAGTAAATATTCAAATATTAAACCAATCACGGTGTTTTGTTAATAGGATAAATAAGGCTGTGTATATAAATTGTGCAATTAGTCATAATAATAATGATACTTTTATGAATTTTTTTTGTTCCTTCACGTTCCCCAGTGGAACATAGGGCTTCAAGCTAGTGGCTTGAAGTTTCTGTAGCATTATTTTTATTTTACAGGATGGGGTTGCTAGCCTCATGCCCAACCTTTCCTCTTTACCAGCATTTTTTCTGGCTTAGCGAGGTAAAGGAGTGCGTCGGCCGGGGATCGAACCCCGGACCATGTGCATGGTCGGCGAGCGTCCTAACCGCTATACCACCGACGCACTATATGAATTTAGATAAGGCAATAAGAAGACGTAATTTGTCTGAATCGTGTAATGTATTCGCACAACACATATCGAACAATCTGATCACACACACACTGACATGTCATAGGAATATATATGAAATTAATAAAGAGTTAAGAGGTGAGACTTAGGTCAAGTTGAAAGGGCTTTAGAGCATATTCCTAAATGGCTCCAGAAACAAATGGAATCTTCAGAACCCATTAATGGTGAGAACAGGAGACCTAGCTCTTCTATTGCGAAACATATTATGCAGAAACAGGACATAAAATTGACGTTAACAGATATTTTACACCTATCTATAAAACGTGTTTGGGGCGTATCCTAAAGTTTGTGGAAGCCCTGGCTGGCAATTAGAAAGTTTAAACCACCTTTATGCGTTCAAAGCAACAATTCGTCATCACATTAAACCACCTTCCTTGGTAAATTTTGTTTTGATACCATAGCAGATGTACTATTACCTCTACTATTTGGTTTAGTGATCTTCATTGTTATTTTGAAGGAGGATCTGGACTTCGCCGATGAGATATATCTGATTTCCCACAAACTGGAAGATATGTAAGCGAAAAGCAACAAGTTGGCAGAAGAAGCATCCAGAGAAGATAGGCCTTCAGGTGAACATAGATAAAACAGAGGTGATGAAGATTCCTGGACAACACCACCAACAGCAACAACAACAACAGACAACGATCAGCATAAATGGGAGGAACCTGAAAAAACAACCTCCTTCACCTATCTGGGAAGCATCGCTTCAACTACAGGCGGACGGAACTGACGAGGATATCAAAGCAAGAATCGGAAAAGCAAGACAAGCTTTCACTACTCTCAAGTCTGTGTGGAGGTCAACAGCACTCAGCATGAAATATAAGATCCGGATTTTCAACTCCAATGTGAAGTCAGTGCTACTCTTTACGGATCAGAGACTTGCACTGCGCGTCACAAAGAGCATCTCAAACAAACTACAGACCTTCATCAACAGCTGTCTTCGTTCAATACTCAAGATCAAATGACCGGCCAGAAAAGATCAGCAACAGGGGTCTTTGGGAACGAACCAACCAGGAACCAATTGTGAAACAGATAGACGGGAAGAAATGGAGATGGATTGGCCATACTCTGAGAAATCAAACCATCAAGTGACATCACTAGACAAGCCATTGCTCGAGTGGAACCCGAAAGGGAAGCGGCGAGTTGGTCGTCAGTGCAAGGGTGACTTGGGGGAGGTCATGTGAAGAGGAGATGAAGGTGTGTGGACAGACTTGGAGCCAGGTGAAAACTCTAGCAGAGAACCTAGTGCAATGGAGACGCACGGCTGGAGCCCTATGTTCCTCTAGGAATTAAAGGAAACAATAATAATGATTGTTATTTTGACCTTGAATATGTCCTTTTAACTTGACCTAAGTCTATTTTCTCACCTCTTAACTCTTTATTAATTTCATATATATTCCTATGACAAGTCCGTGTGTGATGGATCAGATTGTTCGAAATGTGTTGCGCAAATACATTACATACACGATTCAGACAAATTACGTCTTCTTATTGCTTTATCTAAATTCATTCATAAAGGGAACTAATTGTTTTAAACTTCTATGAATAACAAGGATGAAAAAACTGAGACGATCTGTGATAACAAGAATAACGAAAAGTAGCACGACTAAACAAACAAATGTTCAGCTAGACGTAGTAGTCGATAAAGGCAAAGAAAAACAAATGAACCCATTGAGTAATACTCGATTGTAAGGGAAGTAAATCAAATACGTTTTAATGAAGATGTGATAAGATTAAAGGACGATAAGAGAGGGGTTGAAAGTATAAGAGTAAGGGGTGGTGTTGACTTCAACAGTTGGTTAGGTCTTAATAAGCCAAGGGAGGGATAATGGCTGTAGGAAAACTTCTGTCAAATGCCTATCGCCTCAGCTATGTGCAGTAGACGAATACGAAGTCTATTGGAGAACTATACCGTCACCTTTAACCGGCTTGCTCATAATTAAGCTTATTATTCCCTTACAGGTTCTCTGTGTTGCTTAGATAATAGAATATTTACCGAATGTCTATTATTTTTGTACTGTTGGCAGCTGTCAACTAGCGTAGTTTTTAACCTAGTTATAATTCATCGTCCGATGAGAGACAAAAACAATCCGTAGTTCCATTTTGTCATATTTAGCTGATAGTGGTCGTGTAGTGGAGAAAACGAAAGCATTCAAGGTAATTCATCGTATCCCACAGAATGATTATGTGAAGAATACATTGTGTTCGAAACCTCGTCATCCAGTAAATAATACTGCTTCACTGTGTGATGCATCTAATAAACAAATTAATATGGAATTCGCTTAAATGTGTTGTTCTGAACTAATTAGTTGTCAACCCCATCCCCTCACGCGACAACGTAAGATATTATGCACAATTTTTCAAACATTGTTACTACTCACTATACACTTTAACTTATTTTGTTACTAAAACTGACAGTATCCTTGACCTCTGTTGTTAATTAACCTCCCCCCTACACACACACACACCTAATTAACTGTACAGCTTCAAAGTGAAGTTACGAGAAGTGACGCCATTCTGTTGACTTATATGTTTCCTGAATAATGATTTCATCATCCGATATTATTGCTAATTTTAAAAAAAGAAAGAATATAAATGGTACTTTAAGCAACAAAATGTGAATTTTTGTGCACTTATTTTATTATTGTTATTATTATGATCATATAATTATTTACAGTTCACCCTTATAACTTTCATTTATTTATCTGAACTTTTGTTGGTATAATGTTAGTAAAAACCAAAACAATGTCGGACGATTTTGATGGCCATGTTAAAGTGAAGATGTTTACACGCTATTTTTAATTTTTAATGTATAATTCATGTATATATTGGTTTCATAAAAGGCAACAGATTGACTCAGCAAATTGATCAAACCTTGGTATTAGATAGTTGGAGGCAATCGGCCACAGGAAGCCTTGCCTGGACCTAGGTTTCGTGCTAGTTGGCACTCACCAGTCAGCAAGGCGTATCTGCAACCTTGAAGGAACTCATGTCCTACCCCTCTGAGATTCGAATCCGCGTAACCCAGAGCTGCAATCAGAGACGATACCACTGAGCTAGCTATTCGGGCTGGCGATTGACCTCCTGTAGGACTGTAGTGGGTATTTTGATTGGACACACTAGTAACTAGTGTGACGTGTCTAGTCCTTTCTTTGGTGCAGACTGAATTCTATCAGTCAGGTTTCGCGCAATGTGATTAGACCGTTATTGTTCGATGACAGTTAAGTTTGTAGTCTCGAAAAATCTCAGCGAACCTAGTTCCTTCTCAATTTGGGTAAATCGATAAGATGATCAGGTCTTTGGCAATAAGTTTGGCTAACAAATTGGTGGTATATGGAAAATCTCCTCTGATTAACTAAAACACACGTTATGCAAAGTTTTCATTAACATGTGAACTACCATGTTTATACGGATGCCAAAAGGAGGCTAGGAGAAACAAGACAAACTGTCATTAGTCTGAAATCAATGTGAAAATCTGCCGGCTGTACTCAGCACAAGCAACAAGACTTGGATTTTGAACACTAGAGTCAAGTCAATCAGTGCTTCTCTATACGGTTTAGAGTACCCAAAAGAGTACTGAAAACTTCCACTAGCAACTGCCTTTGCTGGCTCGATACTGAAGATCAGATGGCTTATCAGAGAGGATAAGCAACAAGGAATCAACCAAAAAGCTCTAATTCAACAAGTAAGCAGAAAGAAATGGAGATGGATTCGATGCATATTGAGGAGACCGTTGAATGACATCACACACCATGCTAGTCCTTGAGTGGAATGCGAATGAGAAACGACGAATTGGTCTTGGGGTCCGAGGGTGACATGGAGGAGACTGTGTGAGCAAGAGTTGAGAGCTTATGGGTAATGGTGAGGTCAGCTAAAAAGAACTGTAGCTAACAGGGTGAAGTGGAGATGTGTCGTTGAAACCCGATGTTCCACTCGGAAGCCAACGGAATAATAATATTAGTCTCCGGAGAGAAATTAGTGTCAGACACCTAGTCCTTGATGCTGGTGCTGACCGAATTCTATCAGTGAAGTTTGCTGACAAGTGCCAACAATCACGAAACCTAGTTCATGCCAATTCCCATTCCTATACCTACGATTAAAGGACGAAATTCTGTGGACTATACTTTGCACTGTATCTACAAATTCATCTGCAGTTAAGGTGACACATATCTAGGTAGAACTAACAGAATGTTCCAATGTTGTCGGAACGTTCCTAAATGGTTATTAAGTCATATACAAAACCCAAACGTACTTAATCAGAATAGGAATCCAGCATCATCCACTGAAATGCATTTATTAATTTTTTACGAGTTTGACCACGGATTGATATCAGTTAGAGAACCATTGAAAACTAGGGAGTACTAGACAGCTGTTTTGCATCCTAGTTTGGGAATCATCGGCAGTACGCACCAAATGGGGTTCGAACCCAGGACCTTCCGGTCACAAGGCGAGCTCGTATACCATTCAGCCACTGGGGTGATTCAATGACCAGTCCATGAATTCTAACTTCTACAAATTCGTGATTTAGCGCGACTGGCACCAACCAATGTCATCGGCGGGACATCCATCCCCACACACTTGACTGGATGGATCTCACTTGTCACGACTTCTCACTAGAACTCCAGGAAACTCCGTCCTGTAGCAAGTCACTAGGGAGCATCAGATTAATTTTCAAGAGTTGGTTTGTAAGGATTAGATTAGTTTTTACGAGTTTGCCTACGGGATTGATATGGGTTAGAGAACCATTGTGTCTGGTTAGAAACCAATAATAATGACTGTCTCACAATTATTTCACATAACTTTAATTCAAGGCTATAAAAAGTTGATGGAAGCATTTTGGATTAATCACATGTATCGCAAACTGTGCACAGAAAACAATAGACTTCAACCTTTCCTTATCATGGACTACTTGACCTACTAAGATATAATTGGTTATTAGTGTGTACTTTTATTTTATATAACTGAGTAATTGTCACTAATTTTTTTTTACTATTGTGAATCATACTGGTTGTAAAGTGATAATAAACAAACTGTGAAGCGATACCATCTCACGATATTTGTCTTCTTAAAGCGACCAACTGTTTTAGCATTTCATATTGTTTTAACTATTCATAAAGGTCTTTGAATTTCCTGTCATTAACCATCATGTAATTATTAGTTATTGTGGTTGTTTTTTCTTATTTTTTATTTTTTTTCGGCAATATTAGACTGACAATCTTTGGTTACGAACGCCATTGTCACCACCTTAAAAATTTTGTATTATGCAGGATTACTCACACTACCACTACAAACACCACATTAGACCTGACAATAAAAAACAAAACAACAATCCTGAAATGTTATTTTATGATTGTTTAGAGTTGTTTCAACCAAATTAACTGTTCATCTTGGCGATAAATATTCTTAAATATCATTTCATAACTTCTTGTATGACTATAGCTTTACTGTCACCATGCATAATCATATCATTGCTTCCACTACCCAATACTGAGTTATTATTATATGATGTTTATTTTCTTTCTACTTCTTGATATTTTTTCGCATTTTTTAAAAATTATTTTGTGTTTTTCCTTTTTTTTTTGCTGTTGGTGTCTTTATATATTTTTTTGAAATACTCCTTTTAAATGTTTGATAAAATTAGATGCAAATATTGTAGATATGTGCTGAAAATTCCACACTGTACCACTAGTACTGTTTCTGGAATAAAGCAAATTATTATTATTATTATTTTTATTGAATGGCAGTATGAAAATCCAGATGTGGATTTAAACGGCTTTTAACCTACTGCTATGCGTTCTACGCAATACATGAAGGGGATTAAACCACGCTTCACATCGATGAAGGCTGTGCATTATACTGATATACAATCGACTTTTATTTTCAAAATAATGGTTACTGAACAAAGAATACTCTTTTCGAGTTAACTTCATCATCAGGTTCTACAGTTGTACACACATAATAGTGAATGAATGAATTAGTGTTATGAACAACATTAATGTTGTTTAAATAACATTGAATCAATAATATCAATGGATTACAGTTCAATAGCTTGCTTGAAGTTCATTTACTAAAAGGGAATATCTGTTTCAATAAAACATGCTGAGAATTCTACACGCTATACAAACATACCGTTCAGAAAAAAACCTGCTATTAATATTATTAATCCTATCAAAATATGACAAATCCTCATGTGTTCTTAATTAAACCTATCCATTTTCTTCCCTTCTGGAGATCATATCGGAAACTCATATATGGAGTTGTTCTTACTTTCACTTGTGCAGTGTCAATGTCAAGTTTCATACTGTATGTTAAAAAGTCTCCAAATTAAAAGTTTTTTTTAAATAAAACGCAGTAATATTTTTTTATTTGAAAACTTGTGTGCTCGCTAACCATGTACGGCACGTACATGTTCTCCACTCCCCCCGCCCGACGCCCTCCACTTAACCTTGCTTACCCCATAGTCATCCCGGTAAAGATGGAAAGTTAGGCGTCAGTGAGGTTAGCGACTCCACCTCGTAAAAACAACAACAACACCATCACTACTGGGAGCTGTATGTTCGTTCCATGCGGAATCCAAAAAGGAATGGAAAAAAAGGAAAGCAGACAAGCAAACAAAATTACTCACCTTCAAACAATGACAAGTGATATGCTCACGTAATTCAACCAGCATCTGATTGATAATATTCTTCTCAGCATAATTTACCAATGATGTTCCAGTATCTATGTCCGATGAATAATCATGCATAGTACCGCTTGATGGTGACAAGGCAGCAGCACCGAAATTCAAATTCCTCTCACCAGCAGTGATTAGTTTAACAAATAATGGATTAGTAAACCAAGTTGTCCATAATTCGGATAAACTGAATTGTACAGTTACATAAATTGTCATGCGTATAATCAACGACTAAAAATGAAAGAGAAAAAACGTATGAACTATGAAGTAAAAATATCTAATGTGGCTCTCTCATGGTTCAATGACCTAGTGGATTTGAAACGATAGATGCTTTGTTCAAGTGTCTCAATGGGAACTATCATCAGTCACTACAAGGATGGAGATATATCGAGTTAACAAGTTTTAAAAAAACGGGACAAAATGTACGTCCTGGATTCCACTATTAGCCACCATTAAAATATCATAAATTCATGTTGGAACAGCTGAAACCAAGTAGAGAAAACCGTCAATCTCGCATAAAAGTTGTTACCACTATATTACGTTAATTGAAAATTTAAAAATAATTATGTGTGAAAGCCATTTAAAATTGATTTGTTTCTGTTACAGACAACAACCTCCCCCCCCCACAAGTCTGGATTCGGTAGGCGTTTTTATATTGTGCTATAGTTCCTCCTAGATACTCTCATTTCTCAGCACTTAAAGAGAAAATATGACTTTTGATAGGATAAATGATCACGGAATGAGATTCTACGTGCCTCCAGACATTCAGTAATCATGTGCAAATGACTAATATGAAATGGATTGCTATAGGATTGAAACCATTGGCGTCAGAACCACTAGTCCGACAGTTTGTTACCTGAACCAGGAAAGAACCCAGTTGGTAACCAGGTCACCACTTACCACTGTAACCATAACGGGTAGTGCCGGTGATCGTGACTGATCAAGCTGGGCAGGTAGTGTTACACTTTTGGATACATAATACTTTACATATCACATCCTTGATATCAGGGCTGCTTTCGATTCGTTGGACAGAACTGTGCTCTGGAACTGTCTGTTAGAGAGAGGTGTATCTGAGAAATTTGTTAACATCTTGAAAGCCCTATACAGAAACACCTCAGGTAGAGTGAGGGCATACAACCAACTATCATCACTGTTCCCAACCAACAGTGGGGTTAGACAGGGTTGCCCAATCTCTCCATTTCTCTTTAACTTTGCCATTGATGACATTCTGGAGTCAGCTCTGAAGGATGTGCGTGAAGGTGGTGTAGATCTGCTACTTGGGGATAGACTTTTCGACCTCGAGTATGCAGACGATATCGTCTTACTGTGCGATAGCATGCAGGCTGCCCAAATCGCACTTAATCAGTTGGCGATCAGTGTTTGTAAGTATGGTATGTGCTTTGCACCGTCTAAGTGCAAAGTACTGTTACAAGATTGGCAGGAGCCTGTACCTGCACTCATTCTTGCGGGTGAACCGCTTGAAGTTGTCGATAAGTTTGTGTATCTGGGTAGTTGTGTGAGTGCTGGCGGAGGGGTGACGGATGAGATTTCCAACCGTATAATGAAAGCTAGGGTGGCATACATCAACTTGTGCCACCTCTGGCGCCGTCGCGACGTTAGCCTGGCTGTCAAAGGTCGGGTATACAATGCTTCGGTGCGGGCTGTCTTGCTCTACGCCTGTGAAACCTGGCCTCTCCGAGCTGAGGATGTGAGGCGACTTTGCGTGTTCGATCATCGCTGTCTCCTCAGGATTGCTTGCGTTCGATGGCATCATCGCGTGAGTAATTCTGAGGTTCGGCGGCGTGTGTTTGAACACAGTGGAGATCACCATTCATTGAGTGTCGTCATCTGGAAACACCGGCTCCGGTGGCTTGGACATGTGCTGTGAATGTCATCCCAGAGGCTTCCGTACAGGTCTCTGTTCACTAGCCCTGGGACGGGATGGAAAAGGCGGAGGGGTGGTCAGTCCATGACGTGGCGTCGTGGGATGAAGGATATTTGTGCTAGATTAGCATTGGTTGGTGCGTCACATCTCCCTGGTTGGGGTCCGCGAGATAGCTCGAAACGTTATCGGATATGGCCAAGAATCGTAATCAATGGCGAATGTGTTGCAATTTCCTTCTTTCTTCCCTTCCTGACGATAGTTAACGAATACTGTTTGAACTTGTTAAACATGACTGTTTTCCTTCCTGATGAAGTTCTTTATCCGTTTTCTACTTATATTTTTACTTTTAATCTATGTTGTTTTATTATTATTGTGTGGCGCATCTTTCTTGGTGCCATATTGTACCAAGTTTTTTCTGCGTCTAAATAATAATAATGATACATATCACATCCGAACACCATAAATTTTTATTATTAGTTGTATAACACTCAAGAAGATAAAAAAAAACATCAAGTGATTAGTTGATTACCTGACTTGACCTGGCCTCAATTTCAAAGTCAACTATAGCTATGGTATGATTTAAACTAGTCAATTAGCTGTAAAGTTTTGTTGTATTTAACAACTTCCTATCACTAACATTTCGTGGATTGTCTACTTTAGAATCTTTACATTCTTCTAACAGATGATGTGTCGAATTTCAGCAAAGATAAATACATCTCATCTCTTTGATTGGACACACTAGTAACTAGTGTGTGACGTGTCTAGTCCTTTCTTTGGTGCAGACTGAATTCTATCAGTCAGGTTTTGCAATGTGGCCACCATTCTCTAGGTAGCTCACCATCACGATGCAAAACATTGATTTGATGATTAGATTAGATCTCTTTATATTAGCGCTCTTCACCTTCATACAAACGAGTTGATTAACTCTATTTACTTTTGTTTCCTTCACGTTCCCCAACATAGGCCTTCAAGCTAGAGTCTTGAAGTTTCAGTAGCAGTGTTTATTTTTCAGGATCGGGTTGCTAGCCTCATGCCCAACCTTTCCTCTTCACCAGCATTATTTCTGGCTTAGCGAAGTAAAGGAGTGCGTCTGTGGCCGGGGATCAAACCCCGGACCATGTGCATGGTCGGCGAGCGTCCTAACCGCTATGCCACCGACGCAACTCTATTTACTAAAACTTACTAAATATTCCCAGTCAACCACTTGCATTTCCTATTCAGTTAGCAATGAACCATACACATATTGTTTACGATGGCAAGTGATACTACCACCTGGCTGCTCACAACCTTTTTATATATATCTCTAACTTAAAACAATTAGTGACTTCCGAACTCGAATCGAATAACAAACTCGGTTTCCTCGATATTACAATGACCAGGAGAGATGATGGAACGATTCAGCGATCGATTTTTTGCGTAAACAGACATGGAGTGGACAATATCTTTATTTTACCAGTTTTGTTCCTATCCAGTATAAACGTTCCCTAGTGAAATGTTTGTTCTCAAGGGCCCGAAAAATATGCACGAGTGACACAGTGATGGATGAGTTTCGACATATACATTCAGTTTTATTAGCTAATGGTTATCCGGAGAACTTTATCACTTGTCACAGTAAAGAAAGACCACATCTCGAAAAGACAGCTTCTGTACCAAAGAAAGCTACTCTTCATTAACCTACCATTCAAGGGTGACCAGATTATATGCAGTTGACAGCTAACTCAAAGACTTCGGTCAGCCATCAAACGCACATTCTACGCCGCCGCATCACTTTTTCTCACTTGCCGAACATTTTCGATCCCTGTACCTACGATTAAAGGACGAAATTCTGTGGACTCTACTTCAAACTGTATCTACAAGTTCACCTGCAGCTGCGGTGACACCTATATATAGGTAGAACCAACAGAATGTTCCAATGTCGTGGTTGAAAAGAACATGTTCCAAAATGGCTACTAAATCATATAGAAAATCCCAATGCCAGTAATCTGAATAGAAATCCAGCATCATCCATTGCAAAACACTTATTAATGTCAGGTCACAAAATCAATATTAATGACTGTTTCACAATTATTTCACATAACTCTAATTCAAGGTCGGTTATTGAAGGTGATGGAAGCACTTTTGTGGATTAATCACATACAGCCTAAACTGTGTGTACAAAAAACAATAGACTTCAATCTTCGCCTACCATGGACTACATGACCTATTTAAATATGATTGGTCATTAGTATGTACTTTTGTTTTTTATTTAACTGAGTAATTGTCATGATCTTTATTTTATTATTGTTAACCATGTTAGTTGTAAAGCGGTTGTAAAGAAACTACGAAATGACGATATCATCTCGCAGCGAAATTTGTCTTCTAAATGCCTTATTCAAAATATCTCTAACTCTCCACCATGTGGCTCCAACCAACAGTAATAACTTGAAAGATAATTGTGATGCTAGTTTTCGGTTTGACCAATCTTAACTCTTCACCAACTAGTATTGCTCAACACGGAGGGTTCGGTGCGTATATATCCCTCTTGTTAACCATTCCTAAATGACGGAAACCAACAGTCAACAACTCCATGGGTTAATTCCAAATATCAATTACTATCTCTTGATGAGGAAAGTGATGATTTGGTGGCATTCATAAAACCTTTATTATTATTATTATTCCCTTGGGTTCCTAGTGGAACATAGGGCTTCAACTACACGTCTCCACTTGTTTCTGTCTTCTGCTGTATTTTTCACCTGCATCCATGTTAGTCCACACTGTTTCAACTCTTCTTCACACGATCTCCTCCATGTCACCCTTGGACGTCCCACTACTCGCCGCTTCCCTTTCGGGTTCCACTCGAGCACTGGCCTGACGCGCGATGTCACCCAGCGGCCTCCTCCTCAACGAGTGTCCAATCCATCTCCACTTTTTCCTGCATATTTGTTGAGTGATTGGTTCTTGTTTTGTTTGTTCCCGTAGTTTCTTGTTGGTGATTCTTTCCGGCGGCCATCAGATCTTCAGTATAGAGCGAAGACAGTTGTTGATAAAGGTATGCAACAGGCTGTTGGAACTATTCTTTGTGACACCCTGGCCAAGTTTCTGATCCGTATAGAAGAACTGACTGACTTGACGTTTGTATTGAAAATCCAAATTTTGTTGTTGATGCTGAGTGACAGCGGAATATTTCCAGATTGGTTTCAGGTTGATGAATGTGTTTCTCGCCTTCCCGATTCTCGATTTGACATCCTCGTCCGTTCCTCCAGTGGTTGATACAATGCTCTCTAGATAAGTAAAAGAAGTAACCTCTTTCAAATCCCTCCCGTTGATGGTGATTGGCACTGGATGTTGCTGCTGTTGTTGTTGGTTGCTTGGTCTTGTCTGTGTTCACCTGGAGTCCTGTCTTTCTGCTTCTTCGACCAGTTTATCGGTTTTCGCTTGTAAGTCTTCGATTTTGCGTGACATCAAACATAAATCATCCGCAAAATCCAGGTCTTCTAGATTATTCACGTCAGCCCAGGATATCCCCGTCTTCTCGTTTCCCACTGTCTGACGCATAATCCAGTCCACCACAATTAGGAATCTTATGAAGCAAGATAAACAAAAACAAGAAGGTACTCACCCCGAGATAATGCATTCCAAGCTGTTGTCTTAAGAATAATCCAAGTGTTACACCATATCTGGGTAGAAGGTGTACAGGCACTTTGTCATTATCAGTGTCATTTATCGACGACGTATCTCCACCAACATCATCCTCATTGACTTTATTAGTATTATTATTATTATCACTGACCAATCCATGAATTGATGCCTCAAGGAAATCACGAGTACACATTAATGCCAATGATAAGTTGTCTAGTAATTTGCAGAAGTTCACAAGTCCAGAGCAATCCGAATTCACCTTTTTCAGCTTACGAACTGTAAACAAAATTTTTTGAAAGAAATATATTGAAGGATTAGTTAACAAGAGTGCATATATATATATATATATATATATATATAATGAAATAATTTTATTGTGACGTTATACAATTCTTTCCCAAATGAAAAAAATAAAAGACAGATTCAGCGAAGAAAATTTTCTGTATCGACGAAATCATCTTCAGAGGCTGTACAGTCGTATTTATACTTATAAAAATATATAGTGGTCTATTATTGAGTAATAGGGGGTGACATAATTGATATAATTACTCAGAAGTGGCTTTAGAAGTGAAAATCAAAAGTTGTAAATTACGTGGTACTCAACGGAACAAAGATAGAAATTTGATAAGGTTAAAATTGCTATTGAGTCAGAATAAAGGTATTTGAGTGTCAATTTAACAAGTGTGAAGAGGGCGTGAAAATATACAAAAGGAGCATATGAGAGTGATAATAGTGAATTAATTATTAAAGCAAAAGCAAACTAAAAGTAAAATTAAAAATTACAAAAAAGAAAAAAAATCAAAATTTGTTTAACAGGGAACGATTAGTGAGAAGGTTAAGACCAAGGTAGAATAAGAGACTGGACAAACTTTTTCTGTATACAGAGTTCAGGGTTGTATTGATGAATTGCCAGCGCCTCCACCATACACAAAAGCCGAAACCTGACGCCCTTTGTACCATTTGGCTTCACTTTGTAGATGATCTTGAAAGACGACTCCGGTGGAGCTACGTGGCCTGAGTTCACCAAATGCTCGAGAATTGAGCTAGTAATTGTCTTACACTGTCCCTTTGCTAACCATGCCGGATAATGTTCAGAGATGCGTTTGGAAAGCGTGCGCTTTGTGCGGCCAATATAACTAGCTCCACACGAGCAGGTGAATTTATAAACATACATTGAGGTGGCCCAAAGCGGCAGTTTATCCTTCACACATCCGTTGATCATTTGTCGGCTGTAGAAATTGATACGTAGCTCAGCCATAAAGAAGGCTTTCCTCAGTGATCTGCATAAGCGATTCTTTAGGATCTCAGCTGCGATATCACCTTTAAATTCAACACTCATAAATAGCAGTTTCTTTGGCACCGTCTGGATTCTTTCAGGCTTTTCCCTTAACTTCATGTTTTTCTCGATAAATCTTGGAGGATATCCATTCTCTATGAGGACTTGTCTGAGTCGCCCCAAAGTAGAGATAATATGAGCTTATTTTTTTTCAGCTCAACTGCTTAACAACCTAAAACAATACCAGTCTTAAAAATTTCTAAATGGTGAGTGCTGGGTATGCGTCTCGATAGAAATACCATCGTGCTACTTAGGATATCAATACATCCAATTGATGAGTCCTAAAAATAAAACGAAACGCGGGCTAGTCATCATCAACTCTCTCTCTCGCCTTATTCTTTTTGCTAACCTAAAAAGAGTTTTCACAGTTACATGATGTTAAACTAATGCAGTATATTTAGTAGTTGAATGATATCCCAGCCCATATTTTCTGCTTTTCCCTTTTTCCAAGAATATTCGCCTAATTATTTCTGTATATAGTCAATACTTCAATTTAACTATTTCGCTGGCTTGTGTCGACCTGTAGTTCTCACACAACTAACTGACTTTGTAATCTAAAGATCCTGGAATTCACTCCGTGATAGAGTCGTAGATGCGTACTGTCGAAGGTTCCAAAAACCAGGACGAAACACCACCCACCTAGTGCTTCCCGGTTTTTGATGATTCAGTCTCTGATTGATGTTAGTTTGTGGCAGAATCAATATTGGGATATTCTTAAACGTTGAATGGGACACCAGATTCAGTGGTATTTTGAAACGCATATTATAGTATCCAAACATAGTGTTTAAAATCTGACCACTGATGATTTTTTTCCAATTACCTCATCTTTCAGAAGACAAATGTGATTCATCTTTGGCTACTCTTCATTTAACTGGTATTCAAGTGTTGGTTTGTAGGGATTTGATTGATTGGTTACAGGACTTCATCATGAGCTGACATTGGTTAGAGAACCATTGGAAAACCTGGGAGTACTGGACAGCTGTTTCGTCCTAGTTTGGGACTCTTCATCAGTACGCACCCACCACCACAGTTCGAACACAGGACCTTCTGGTTACAAGGCGAGCTCGTAGACCATTGAGCCACTGGGACCCGATCCAATGGCCAACCCATGAATTCTAACTTCTGCCAATTCACGACATAGCGTGACCGCTAGCCAATATCTTCGGCGAGTATTTGTCCTCACAACCAACCTCCTGCACTCTACTGATCTCATACCTACAAAACAACACTTGAATATCGATTAGATGCTCACTGGCGATTTGCTCTATTCAGGTAGGTAGTTACCCGGGATTCTAGTGAGAAGTCGTGACCAGTAGGGTGCAGGAGGTTGGGTGTGAGGACAAATACTCGCCAAAGACATTGACTAGTGGTCACGCTGTGTCGTGAATTGGCAGAAGTTAGAATTCATGGGTTGGCCATTGGATCGGGTCCCAGTGACTCAATGGTCTACGAGCTCGCCTTGTAACCAGAAGGTCCTGTGTTCGAACCCGTGTGGTGGGTGCATACTGCTAAAGAGTCCCAGACTAGGACGAAACAGCTGTCCAGTACTCCCAGGTTTTCCAATGGTTCTCTAACCAATGTCAGCTCATGATGAAATCCTCTAACTGGTATTCAGTTTAACTGATTCCCATCACAATATGGTATTACGTAATCCTACCGTTTTTTTCTAGCTTTTATCTCATAAGTCCACCTGAACAGTTGTTTGTACAATCATGCCCGTTTTACCATTCTTATTATCAAATATTTCTCCGTACATCTTTGTTGATTATTATTATTATCATTACTACCGTTATTCCTTTGAGTTCCGAGTGGACATAGCCTTCAACAGCCATCTCATTCATCCTGTTGTCTTCAGTCTTTTTTAATTGGATCCAGGGTTGCCCATAAGCTTTTACCTCCTACTCACATGATCTGCCTACTGTAACCCTCTGACGCCCAAATCATCGTTTCCCATCCCAGTTCCACTCAAGGGAGCCTGAAGCATGATGTCTCTTGGCGGTCTCTTCAGCGTGTGTGTCCGATCCATCTTTATCTCCTTTCGCAAATTTGTCGGCTGACAGTTTCATGGTTTGTTAGTTCCAAGAGTTCCATGCTATTTATCTTTCCAGCCCTTCTGATCTTCGGTATCGAGCCAGAGAAAACAGCTGTTGATACAAGTCTAGGGTGGCCAGTTGGAAATGTCTTTCTTGGCAGGTGCGCCAAATCTCTGAACCATATAGAAGCGTTGGCTGACTTGATATTGGTGTTGAAAATACGAATCTTATTCCCTATGCTGGGTACAACCAGCAGGTTCATAGCACAATGACTTCAGATCAATAAAGCTGCGTCTTGCTTTTTCAATCCCCATTGGTTTTGACATCTTGCCTGTTCAGATAAGTCACAGAGAGAGAGACAAATTCCTTTCGTTTTCTCCCGTTGATAGTGATTGATGCTTGCTGTTGTGGTTATATTATTGTTACATTCAGTTTGTATTTTTAGACGTCCTTATGACCAGAAAAGAGGACGGCACAATAAGAAGTGTTTATAGAAAACCTACATCAACGGGCCAGTACACACATTTTCCCAGCTTTGTGCCCTTGAAATACAAACGCAATCTAATAAAGTGCTTGGTCCACAGAGCAAGAGAGATTTGCTCGGACGAATGTCTTGACGAGGAACTTAACAATATTAAACGGTTGCTAAGTGAGAATGGTTATCCTGAAAAGTTTATTGATAAGAATCTGAATCTGAAACCAAAGCAGCCCAAGTTACCAACAGTTCCAAAAAAGGCCTTATTCTTACAGATGCAGTTCCTAGGAGACAACACCCCAGTGAGATACTAACACAGCGCCTTAGAAATGCGGTAAAAAGAGCATTCCCTGCTGCTGAATTACGCTGTATCTTTAAAACCACTCCTCTTCTGAGTTCGGGAATAAAAGACAAACTGCCTAATTTCGCCTCTTCCATGTGTATCTACCAATTTAACTGCTCCTGTGGAGCCAGTTACATAGGCCGCACAATTAGGCGTGTTTCTCGTCGAATTTCCGAACATCACCCTGCCTGGTTAAGCAAAGGACAAACAAAATCTATTCGCAGCGCTATTCTGTCTCATCTTGTGGAGACAGAACACAAGATTGACGTTAATCATGCTTTCAGGGTCATTTACCGCATACCTACGAATCTCAATTTCGGCCTTAAGAGTTCGACTACTAAATATTGCTGAGGCTGGCTGGCCGTTGCGATCCATATTAACAAGCCTAATTTATGCATCCAAAAGAAGTTAGTTCAGACATTATCATTACCTTGGCCATCCAGGTTTGAATAATCCAGAATTTTTGTGGAATTTCCTTAATTTTAGTTGATATTCTATTCGCTATTATATCTTTATTATTATCATCATAATTTAAGCATCTTTAATGAGCTGTAATTCCATTGTGATCATACTTTACAAATCGATATTATTTAAAAAAAACCAATATCGTTATTGACTACTAATCTAGAATATTCTGTGTATATAAACATATATTTATATATATATATTTGTAGAGCCGGAAGAGGAATTTATCGAAAAGAATATTCTTTGCTCGATTATTTTGTGTTTTTATAAATCAGTATGATCACATATTCGAGTGTCAAAAATATTGTGACTATCGTTTCTTTTGCAAATCAAAAGAAAAGCAACATATCACACCACAATCTACACAATAATCTACTTGATACCACAAAAGCAGCTTACATGTATATTGTTCAGAATTTCATTGTTGAAATATATATATTTTGAGAACTCATCAAATAAATCAAAATCAATCTTATCATTGACAAAAAAATCGATATATATATATATATTAAACAAAACAATGTAAACAAAAACATGAAAATTAAGTTTACACTACACTCACCGAATAAATACAACTCCATTAAACGTAGACGAACTTCAGCTGAGGAAATTGTATCTCCTGTAGTAGCAGGTTTGCCTTTAATCATAACGCTTCTATTCCCCTTTCTAATTGGACAACACCAGTATGTTATCCATAGCCATTGTGGTAAACAGATAAATAGCACATATAGCAAATTCATATTCAACACAATTATCGATCGTATACACTGGTATAAACATTGAAGCAATGATGTTGCATGCACTGATCGAGTCAATTCACTATGCGTACTACACCCAAGAGAGTGTAAGCATAATTTCAGGTGGTAATCTGCTATTGACCATGTCAACTAGAGAGAGAAGGAGAGAAAAAGGTTGATAAGGCGGCGATCAATCGAAACCAAAAAAGGTCAGATAGATAGATAATTGATAATGGTAATAAATATTGATTGATTATAGCACACAAACACACATACACACACAAACTATCTATTGTTAGGTAACGAACGCATAAATGCAAAAAGGCATTTTGTTGACCTAAATGATCTGACAGACAATTTTGTTTTCAAAAATCAATCACGATGGGTAAATGAATAAATAAATAAATAAAAATTCATTTGATAAATATGAGGGCATAGTAACATATATAGGCTAGACACATTTATATATATAAGAGAATGTGAATAATCTTCATTCAAACAGAATTTCGGAGATAATGTATATGATGAAAAAGAGATAAGGTATGAAAAACACAAATCGTGAGCGGATGTAGTTACACAAACACGCAAACAAACATGTGACCAAATTTACATTACCCCATGTTACTGATGACAGCTGTGAAAAAGACAAAACAATTTTGAAGTGTTTATTGGTGAGCGAAGATATGGCTTATTGGAATAAGTACTCGGTTTTCAGCCGATGTTGCCACGGGTTTTCAACTCAGCATGAGCAAGACTGGTTAGTAGCATCATCAATACAGCCCCAACGGGTTGATCTCTGACGAAATCTCAGCACGAATACAGAGGGCTAGTTTCGCATATGCCAGTTTACGCCGTCTCTGGCTTAGTAGACGTGATATCCGGTTGGTCATCGACCAAAGGGCGGGTGTACTGCTCATCAGTCCACTCCATCCTCTTTATGGCTGTGAGACCTGGCCATTGAGAGGGGAAGACATGAAAGCCTTGCTAGCTGTCTTTGATCATAGGTGCCTGCGTTCTATCTCCCGTGTGAAGTGGTATAATAAGGTGAGCAATATTGAGGTTAGGCATTGGTCGAGTGCTAGGTAAGGAGGGGAAATCAATCGACGAGGCTGTGAAGTTACATCGACTGAGATGGTTAGGACATGTGTTACGCATGCCTAGCCATCTGCCTTCCTCGACAATGGACAATGTTAGCTGACATAGGATGGATCAGGTTGGAAAAGAGCGAGTGGTGGTCAAACCAAAACATGGCTTCATCAGTCAATGAAATCCACAACAGTTAGTTTAAGCCACGTAGGAAGATGTAGACTTCCTGGTTGGGGTCCTCGGGACGGTAAAACCAATGGCTGGAGACAATTAGTGATATGGCTCGAAATCGTTCTCAATGGCTGGCGCAGATGCATCCACTCCTTGTGACTTATGATTTCCAATGAAACTGTTTTGTTCTTCGTTATTACTATTCCTTTGTCTCTCACCTCTGTTTACTGTCTCTAATATGCATTTCTCCTACTTTCTTCTCTTGCTTTGTGTGCTACATGGAGTGTGGCGACTTGAACTGCCGCACATCGGTGCAAAGTTCTATGTCGAATACAGACAGACAATACTCGTACCAAACACACATGCAAAAATATCGAGGCTTTTGGCTAGGTGATGTTTAAGAGTTCATCGGGAGGGAGTCGAACCCGAACTACATGAGGCGTGGTCGACGAGCATCCTACCATTAAACCATCAACACACACCAGCGATATCCACCACTTGGTCACGAGGGTCACAATCGAGCTAAAGCGAAAATTATTGGTGGCACTCCGTATTCTTTTATATATTAAATCTATTGAAAGATGAAAATTACCAAACAGTCAGGTGATTTCGCATTGAAATATGGATAAAAAGAAATTTCAAATCACACCCGTTGCACAAGAGATGACTCTCGCAGGAGAGCACTCACTCACTGAGCTACAAATCTTCACTACTACAAAATATTCAATATGTCCTCCTCCAAGTACTAAGATCCATTACTTGTTCAGTGGAGATGTTGCTTATTGGCTTAAGCACTTGGTTCTCAACGGATGCAACCAAAGGTTCAAGTCGTACTACCCCTAATTCAGCTTGGACAACTAGGTAGTAAGTATCACCAACCCCTACACAATAAGTATATGGTTCTTAGCTTGGTACATGAAAAACCTGCACTGGGTAACTGAGCTTGAAAATCAAACTACTTTTTCAAAGGGTCAAATAGCCGAAAATTACTCAACTTTCACTTGCCATTAATTTCAAAATAAAAGATACTAGTGGTGAACGAGAAACACATGAAAATATTCTGTAACCAAAGCGGATAACAACACAGGTATTGTAATCCTTAGAAATTCCAGTTTTTCCAAAGGGAAATAAGCTCTGGAATAAACTCATAGATTTGGGGCATTGAGTACTGTTAGTGTAATTTGTTTTGCATTGTCAATAATATTCTTAAAATCATTTTGCACTGAAATGACAACAACACAGCCACTACTTACCTCTGTTTCCCACTCTCTTCCCCGCCTAACTAACCACTCAAGTATTTTTTTACTTTCAGTACTTTCCTGCGGGGATATATCTCTGGATTCATGAGTAAAACACAGCCCCCATAAACTACTTGGTACAACCGAAGGGGGGGGGGACACTTCGGTCTTCCTCTCCAAATACTTTCATGAAGGCACACATTCACAGCCTCTATCAGGTAAGTCCTATTCACTGCCAATACGCGGTAGCGGTGTTCCTCAACAAAGTGAGAAGGCGAATACTAGCGTCTGTCGCTTCCCAATTCGGACTAGTGGATATGCAGATCTACCCAAGGAGAGCTGGAAAATTATGATTCCAGACCTATGGTGTACACGGCCTCCAGAATACGAACAAATCGAATGGCGTAGGAATCTGTTTTGGTCACCGGAAACTACGGGGGAGGGGGGAACGTAGTTCCTGATGCTGCTCGACTGCCTTGCAGATTAGACTAAGAAGTCAAAGGCTCAGGTAGTGAGTGGTCCCTTAATACGACCACCTGCTTTGCTTTGGTTTGGCTATCCGGACAGTATCCTTGCCCTCGCACAGGATATGAGATTTTGTGTGGAGCATCTGTTGGTGCTCATAATGCACCAAGTTTGTGTTTTCATAAAAATAATAATGATGACAACAGGTGAACACCACCTAATTTAGGCAAAAGACTTTCTAATTTAGCAAAAGAGATGTCAACTTCAATCATTAGCGTCATGTTATCTAAGACAAACGGAAACTATTTTCTCTAACACTGATATGTAACACCTTAGAGTTCAAGTTTGGTTTGCAGTCATTTGGTTGATTGGTTACAGGATTTCATCATGAGCTGACATTGGTTAGAGAATCATTGGAAAACCTGGGAGTACTGGACAGCTGTTTCGTCCTAGTTTGGGACTCTTCAGCGTAATGTATTCAGCACCATAATGTACATTTTATCTAATCAACCTGAACTCCATTGATTTGTGTGTGTGTGTAAGAGAATCACATTTTAGTCTGATTATGTATGGCACATTTAGAGAACGTATGTCTCATTTTGAACCCAGAAAGTCCTGGGTTCGAACCCCGGTGGTTGCGTACTGACGAAGAGTCCCAAACTAGGACGAAACAGCTGTCCAGTACTCCCAGGTTTTCCAATGATTCTCTAACCAGTGTCAGCTCATGATGAAATCCTGTAACCTTAGAGTTCATTAAGTGGTGATACACACACTACATACGTCGAACACTCACTGTTAGTCGTCAGAACTCATTTGCTTAAACCTTTTGGTGAGAAGGCCAACTATACTACTACTCAGCTGACTACGTTGAGATGCGAGGCGAGAGGTTGAAATCCGACACATCATTAGTTGGAAGTCAACTACTTACGTCGATAAGCCGCATCCCATACGTCGCACACCCACACACACAACACACACACACACACATGTACGCATCATTTAGGAATAAGTCAATAAAACAACTCAAAGTAGCTGTATACTTCTTCACTTACCTGATTCATAGCTATATTAGCTTGTCTGTAATGCGATCTAGCGTTGAGTATTGAAATAGTTCTATGCTTCGATTTCATGAAATAGTCAAGCCATTTAAATGAGATATGCTTTCTATGACATGCCCAAGAGCATAATAACAAGGCAATAAACCATTGTAATCCGTAAATGAATGAAATCAACCATGAATTTGACATGGTGTTCATCAAGTTCATTAAACCACTGGATGGATCAAAATAGTTCAATAAACTCCTTGAAGTTGGCAATGACGCTGATGATGACGACTTCTCACCTGAATAAAATAAAAATTGTACAAAAACATTTAAAAAGGTAAATATTACGGAAAATTTAAAGATTAATACTGACAATAATAATTTAATTCAATTTAATTTACTATAAACGATGTTCTGAATACATGTTATATGGTTGGAGGCAACAAGTAGAAATTCCTAGACACCTAGATTTCGAACTTGTTAGAACTCATCAGCAAAGTGTAACTCATGTCCATTCTTGGGAAGTTGTATCAGCACCAACAAACTGATTGGCGACGAAATCTCAGCACGGATCCAAAAAGCTCGAGCTGCTTTCGCTAACTTACACCATCTCTGGCGTGGGCGTGACATCCGGCTATCAACCAAGAGACGTGTGTACTGCTCAACAGTTCGCTCCGTCCTTCTCTATGGCTCTGAAACATGGCCAATACGAGTTGAAGACATGAAAAGGTTGACTGTTTTTGATCATAGATGTCTACGATCTCTTTCTCACGTTAGGTGGTATAATAAGGTAAGTAATGTTGACGTCAGGCGTAGAGTGTTGGGCAAAGAGGGAAAATCAATCGACGAGGCTATAAAGTTACATAGATTGAGATGGCTAGGTCACGTGTTGCGCATGCCTAACCATCGCCTCCCATCCCCGCGACGGGCATTACTAGCTGATATAGGTGCAGGTTGGAAAAGAGTAAGTGGTGGCCAAACAAAAACATGCCATCAATCAATCCATGAAATCCTTGACAGTTAAACTGAGTCAGGTAGGGAGATGCAGACTTCCGGGTTGGGGCCCGCCCTCGGGACTCTAAGAATCAATGGCTGGAGACAATAGGTGACATGGCTCAAAATCGTTGTCAATGGCTTACGCAGATGTATTCAGTCTCTTTGTAATCTTTCATATTCCTTTCTACCATTACTCATTCTGTTTCACTCTTATACTTGTCAAAACTCTATTGATTCTCTCCACTGCTGCACTTCGGTGCCAAGTTCTATGTTGAATCCAGACAGACATGTCCATTCTAAAATTTAAACCTGCATTACCCAATATATTGCAGTCAGAAATGTTACCAATGGACCATTCCGTCTCACAACTAACCTCCTATAAGACTGTAATGGATACAATGACTGGCCACGGTCAGCGTACTACACTAAGGACTAGGCACGTGAAATTAGTTGCTTCATTACGATTAATCACATAATTACATCTTCTTTTGCTTGTTCTCTTTCCTTTTATCATTCTTTTTATTTATTCTAATATTTGCTTATTTTTCCGCCCAGTATGGTATTACCATTACACTTATTTGGGAAGTTGCATCAACCCCGATAGACTGATGGTTACCGAAATCTTAGCGTGGATACAAAAAGCTGGTGTGTGGTATTTGCCAACTTACTTCATCTTTGGGCGTAGACGTGATATCCAGCTGTCGATCGAAAGACGTATGTATGTACAACGCAACAGTTCACTCTGTTCTTCGTGTTAAGGGTAATGACACATGACCGTTGAAAGTGTAAAAAAATGAGGGCCAGCTGTCTTTGAGCATATGGTGTCTATTTTCTGTTCCTCGTGTTAGCTGGTATGATATGCTGAGTGATATTCAGGTTAGGTGTAAATTGTTAGGTGAGAGAGGGAGAGAGGGAAGTCAATCAATGAGTGCGTGAAGATGGACCGATTGAAAAAAGGCTAGGACACTTGTTACGCGTGCCAAAACCTGGAATCAATCTATCAAGTCTTTGCCAGTTGATTTGAGTCGTTTAAGGCGATGTAGACTGCCTGTTTGGGGTCCTTGGGATGCAAAGAATCAATGGTTTCAGACTGTTAGTGCAGTGCCTTAAAATCGTTCTCAACGGTGGAGATGCATTCACTCTTTGTAATCTCACAGATTCATAAAATCCTCATGTTTCTCCGTGTTACTATTCTTTTCCTGTAAATTTCTGAGCATTATACTTCTTCGTTGTGCGTCAGTGGCATAGCGGGTAGGACGCTCGCCGACCATGCACATGGTCGGGGGTTCGATCCTTGACCACAGACGCACTCCTTTACCTTGCTAAGCCAGATATAATGCTGGTGAAGAGGAAAGGTTGGGCATGAGGCTAACAACCCCATCCTGAAAAATAAACACTGCTACAGAAACTTCAAGCCTCTAGCTTGAAGCCCTATGTTCCACTGGGGAACGTGAAGGAACAAAAATACTTGGTAATTTCTTTCCCCTCTCTTTCCTCTGCCTTTATGGTCTATATAGACAGTACTGGACAGCTGTTTCGTCCCAGTTTGGGACTCTTCATCAGTACGCACCCACCAGGATTCGAACCCAGGGCCTTCTGGTTACAAGGCGGGGTTCTAGTGGGAAGCCGTGACCAGTAGGGTACAGCAGGTTGAAGATGAGGCAGTAACTCATCGAAGAAGACATTGCGAAATGGTCGCGCTATGTCGTGAATTGGCAGAAGTTAGAATTCAAGGACCATTGGATCGGGTCCCAGTGGCTCAATGGTCTACGAGCTCGCCTTGTAACCAGAAGGTCCTGGGTTCGAATCCCGGTGGGTGCGTACTGTGAATATTCCCAAACTAGGACGAAACAGCTGTCCCGTACTCCCAGGTTTTCCAGTGGTTCTCTAACTGATGTCAGCTCATGATGAAATCCTCCATACAATCAAACAAAATCCCTACAAAACCAATACTTGAAAATATATAGAGAGTAGCACTGCTATGCAAAGATCTACGTTGAAACTCAGTCAGTCTCAGCCAGCATGGTTTTACTTCGAAATGTGATTGATCATTTGAAACTGAATACCATAGTGTATATTTTATCTAATCAACCTGAACTCCATTGATTTGTGTGTGTGTGTGTTGGAGAATCACATTTTAGTCTGATTATGTATGGCACATTTAGAGAACGTATGTGTCTCATTTTGATGAATCAATCCTTGTTAAACATGACCTATCACGAAATTAGCTAATCATTCATTCGATTAACATTTAATAAACTTAATTTGATATTATTATTGTTGTTTTGTTTTCTGGTTACCAAAACAAAAAAAGTGTATGACAAAAGAAATAAGAATTAGTTTCCAAGAGAAGCTATAATAACAATAATCCCGACCGATAGTTAGTTGCTACCTACCTTGATGTAATGGTCGGGATTGTATAACAAAATGACCCAATCAGTTATACTGGCTGGAACTAATGTTCCTGGAGGTCCCACTATGCTTGAAAGGTCGTCGTTTGGCTAGCGGTTAGAATAAAAGCAGTCACCATTATAGTGTAAGAGTCATTTACACTATGTTGGAAGGTCTGTAAGCGAAGTTGTACTGATGTCACATAAGGATGTACCAACAATGACATGACCGGCAAGCTAACTACGGTGGCCGCTCGCAGCAGCCGGCAGTAAGAACTTAATATGAACGCAATCCCAAAAAACCGCTTCCAGTCAATAATAATGCAATAATCTCCTTGTAAAACAGACAAGTCAACTCGCAGTGAGTTGACAATGATAAACATAGCAACTTTTCTTCGAATATAAAGTTAACTCTGAAATTTATCCTGATTACATGATCGATAAAAGTGCATACTGTGATCTCGGGTAAACTTCAGAATGAATCGGATATTTTTTTAACAGGCATTTACTGTTATGATCCTTTTATTGTAGACTCGAGTTCTTGATAAGTAAACACGAATTCCAGGTGATAAAATTACAATATGGCACCGTTTTAAGAAAAAAAAGTGACTGATTACTAGTGATCTGAGTCAACCTAGCTTGATTCTACCAGGGCAATATATGCTGACTAAGGAAAGAAAATTGGGGCGCTAAAACCAAAACCTCGTACCGATCATCCACGATGTTTTTGACTGTTAGTTTGAGACACATAGGAGGAGGTGCTGACCGCCTGAAAAGAGTCCTCAAGATGTTAAGAACCAATGAATGGAGACTATCGGTGATATGGTTCAAAATTATTCTCAGTGACGCAGATGCATTCATTCTTTGTCACTTCCCAAATCCACTAAATTCCATGTGATTATTTTTCCCCCCGTATATCTCTGTTTACTATAGTTTTTTTTTCCACATTTTTTCTCTTTACCTTAATACAGACTTTAATTAAGTCAACCAATTTGCAAGGATGACCGAGTGGTCAAAGGTGTTGAGTTCAGGTCGCAGTCCACTTTCTTAAAAGTGGGTTGGAGTTTCACTTTTGACAACACATTGTCGGCAACCATACCACGTTGAAAACAACACTTCCCGTCCAAAGTTTGATGTACATCGATGATACAATGGTAGAATGCTGGCCAAATACTCATGTGGTCCAGATAGGTATCCTGACCAATGAACTCTGAAACATCGCTTATCCGGTAGTAAGCCTGGCAAAGAAGGGAGATTGGGAGACTGACTGACTGGTTTCAACATAGAACTTTGCACCGATGTGCAGCGGTTCGAGTCGCCACACTTCACTCAGCACACAAAGCCAGAGAAGAAGAAAGTAAAAAGAACAGAGACAGTAAACAGAGATATGAGGCGAACGCAGGTACATATGATCAAAGACAGCTAGCCAAGCTTTTCATGTCTTCCACTCTCAATGGCTAGGTCTCACAGCCATAAAGGAGGACGGAGCAGACTGCTGAGCAGTACACACGTCCTTTGGTCAACACGCTCTACCACCACTTCACTCGCTATTTCTAAGCTAGAAGTCAATGTAGTCCAGTACAGTCCAGTCCTGTAGCATCATCCTACATTTGGCGGCAGCGAATCGCATGCCAAATATTCACAGAGATTGGGAGAACGGCTACTAAGCCCACCCCCCTATAAAGACAACACCACCGCTACTGAAAAAGATCCTACAACATAGGTGAAACACTTTACTTGATAAAAAGCCTAAAGAGACATCGAATACTACTCAATTCTACTAGTTTCTACGATAATAACTTTTGTCTGTTGAAAGATAACTAACTCTTCATTCAACACCAACAAAATATACATTTTTCTTCCTTAAGAATTGGTTTTTATTTAATTTCTCTGCAGCTACTATAAATCAAGTGATTTATGCTTGAGTGATTTGATTTATAGTACCAGCGTTCAACAATCATTATATTTCTTGACCTAAAGGCGTCATTCGATTCTGTCGACCGAAAGGTTCTCTGGCGATGCTCGGCTGTAAAGGGAATGCCGAGAAAATACATTGCACTGATCAAGACACTCTACTCATACTCACGCAGCCAGGTGAGGGCTTACGGCGAGTTGTCATCTGAAGTGGTGACGACTAGTGGCGTCCGTCAAGAATGCCCATTATCCCCATTTCTATTCAACTTCATCGTAGATGTACTAATGGGCTTAACCCCAACTCACTTCAGAGACTCAGGGATTGACTTGCTACCAGGGAATAATCTCGTTGACTTAGAATATGCAGAAGATATAGTCCTTCTACGTGAAGACGCTGACAAAAAGCAGAAAGGACCTTCTGAACACCTTGAGCTGCAATCTACGAATGCTTGACATGAGATCGCTCCCGCCAAATGTAAGATGATGCTGCAGGATTGGACTACACCGACTCCTAGATTAGAAATAGGAAGTGAAGTGGTAGGGCACGTTGACCGCTTCACTTACTTGGGAAGTACCATCAGCCAGTGCCAATGGGTTGATCGCTGACGAAATCTCACCTGAGTACGAATACAGAGGGCTAGTTTCGCATATGCCAGTTTACGCCGTCTCTGGCGTAGATGTGATGTAAGCCTATCGACCAAAGGGTGTGTGTACTGCTCATCATTCCGCTCCATCCTCCTTTATGGCTGTGAGACCTGGCCATTGAGAGCGGAAGACATGAAAAGATTAGCTGTCTTTGATCATAGGTGTCTGCGTTCTATGTCCCGAGTGAAATAGTATAATAGGGTGAGCAATATTGAGGTTAGGCATTGGTCGAGTGCTAGCTAAAGAGGGAAAATCAATAGACGAAACTGTCAAGTTACATCGACTGAGATGATTAGGACATGTGTTACGTATGCCTAGCCATCGCCTGCCTCGACAACGGACAATGTTAGCTGATATAGGGTCAGGCTGGAAAAGAGCTAGCGGTGGTCAAACCAAAACATGGCACCAGTCAATGAAATCCACAACAGTTACCTTAAGCCACGTAGGAAGATGTAGACTTCCTAGTTGGAGTCCTCGGGACGGTAAAAACAAATGGTTGGAAACAATTGGTGATATGGCTCAAAATCGTTCTCAATGGCTATCGCAGATGCATCCACTCCTTGTGACTTATGATTTCCAATGAAACTGTTTTGTTCTTCGTTATTACTATTCTTTTGCCTTATATCTCTGTTTACTGTCTTTGTTTTGCATTTCGTTTTCACTTTCATCTCGCGCTGTGTGCTAAATGAAGTATGGCGACTTGAACTGACGCACATATGTGCAAAGTTCTATGTCGAAAACAGACAGACAGAAACAAATCAAGTGAATAATCCTTTATATAGATAACCTGTTGTTTATACTGATCTCAATTATGCACACTTTCCAGACAAACATTTTCTCCAATGAAATGGTTAAAAAATCTGCGAATTATAACTTCTAGTGTCAGTTAATTCACGTAAATTTATTACAGAATTTTCGAAGATATTATTGCCATGGATTTTAAACCTGAATCGTTACTGGCAGATTTCTAGATTGATGTGTGTGGATATTGAGTGTACTATAGTATACAGTCCACACTAGACGCATGATATTAGTTACTACCTAGTGTCCAATTGGAGTATTCCTTACAGATCAGTCATGAGGCCGAATAGGTCAGCAGCAACGTCCCCAACTGTAGCACCAGGTGACTCGGGTTCGAAACTCAGATGGGATATGAGTTCCTCCAAGATTGCAGATATGCGTTGCTGACTAATGAGTGCTAACAAGCACGAAACTTAGGTGCCCAGGGTTGACAGCCGATTGCCTCCAACACCATGCAACGGACTACAATTCCATATCACACAAATTCATATGATATGGTACAGGGTGACTGTTACTATTATTAATTCCTTGTTCTGCGAGGAGTAGCACGTCGCCATTGCATTAGGCTCTCTGATGTCTTCTTTAGCAATCCCCGCGAATACCTACAGGTTTTCACTTACTCGTCACATCAGGTTACTCCCGAATCCAGGACCGATTTGTCGCTTCCTATTAGGATTCCACTCGACAGCGTGGAATGTGACGTCACTTACAGGTCTCCCCAGTGTATGTTCAATCAATCCCTCTTTTTTCTGCATATTTGTTAGACTTCCTTGTCGTTTGTGCTTTCTCATCAACTGATCTTCAATATCGAGAGAAGAGGACGGCTATTGATGAAAATCTGCAGTGGCCTGTTAGGGAACGTTTTCCGTAACATGCCAAGTCTCAGTACAGAATGGCAGAGTATATTAATTGGATGACATCTGGAGGATAAATTACTACTATACCAGGATGATTATACTATTGATACTCCAAAGAAGAGACTTTGTTGAATTGAAAAAGCTTGTAAGTACTTGACAGTCTCTCATAACTGAACTCAATTACCCGAAACAGACTTTTTGTGCATCGGGCAAACAGCCGCACTTATCACATGAGGGCTGATGATAATACTAATACCCGGTTGCCGAAGTGTAAGTGTAGTAAGTGGAGCGAGACTCGCGAACCCGTGACCAGCTGGCTGGAACTAAGTGTATAAAGCCAATGAGCCACTTCTCCAAACTTGATAGCCTAGGCGGACAGTGAATGAATGATACACTCAACCAAAAAAGGACAAATGAAATAAGAGAACAATGGATGAATAAAAATATTTGCATATAATTATTGATCAACCTACCGCTGCTTGAAGTACTCCAATACATTTGATTAGTAACTTGGGCTGGATTCAAGGCAATCAAGCATAGAGCAGCAACACACAGAGTTGTACGAGCAACAGCTTCATTGAAACCAACTCCTCCATTGGGAATATATTGATTTGCATTAGTAGCATTCGATTTTGTTGGCATTGAAAGCGGGTGAGAACATGAATTATTTTCACAGAGCAGTTGGCATACATTTGGAAATTGAGCACGAATATTACTAGTAGCTAGTGTACTACTACTGTGATTATTATTGTTGTTAGAAAGTGTGTTAACCTCTCCTTTCATTTGTGGAATAGGCAATTTCTTGACCCTATAATCACGATTATTAACCAACAGGTGATTACAACGTGTTTTCATCGGTGTGTACAAATCAATGTTAGAGTTTTCAGCTATATAATGAAATGAAAGAAAACATAGGCATATATATGGGATAGTTTGTGTGTGGGTTTATGATTAAATAATAAAAAAAATAGTATGATGATCGCCACATTACGGATCATCATTGAACAAAGCTTGGAATGGCAGTCACCTCTCTATCTCAACTTCATCGACTTTGAAAAGGCCTTTGACAGCGTCGATCGAGAGGTGATTTGGAAACTACTACGCTACTATGGGGTGCCACCGACAATTATACATCTTATCCAACAGTTGTATGATAATGTTGAGTGCCAAGTAATCCACAACGGGAAACTTACGGAATCCTTCGGAGAAGTGTGGACGGGAGTAAGACAAGCTGGCTGCTCACTACTATCGCCAATGATTTTGCTGATTGCAGTAGATTGGATAGTGCGACAGACAGCGGGCAATGAGGAAACAGGCATAAAATGGACTCACACAAAAAACTTGGAGGATCTGGACTTCGCCGATGATATATATGTCTGATTTCCCACAAACTGGAAGATATGCAAGCGAAAAGCAACAAGTTGGCAGAAGAAGCATCAAAGATAGGACTTCAGGTGAACATAGAGAAAACAGAGGTAATGAAGATTCCTGGGCAACACCATTAACAGCAACAACTGACAACAATCAGCATAAATGGAAGGAACCTGAAAGAAACTACCTCCTTTACCTACCTAGAAAGCATCGTTTCAACTACAGGGGGAACTGACGAGGATATCAAAGCAAGAATCGGAAAAGCAAGACAAACTTTCACTACTCTCAAGTCTGTGTGGAGGTCAACAGCACTCAGCATCAAAAATAACATCAGGATTTTCAACTCCAATGTGAAGTCAGTCAGTGCAACTATACGGATCAGAGACTTGCACTGCGCGTCATAAAGAGCATCTCAAACAAACTACACACCTTCATCAACAGCTGTCTTCGCTCAATAGTTCACTCAAGATCAGATGGCCAGCCAAAAAAGATCAGAAACAGAGATCTCTGGGAGCGAACCAACCCAGTAGGAACCGATTGTGAAACAAATAGGCAGGAAGAAATGGAGATGGATTGGCCATACTCTGAGGAAACCATCAAGTGACATCACTAGACAAGCCATTGCTCGAGTGGAACCCGAAAGGGAAGCGGCGAGTTGGTCGTCAGTGCAAGGGTGACTTTGAGGAGGTCATGTGAAGAGGAGATGAAAACGTGTGGACAGACTTGGAACCAGGTGAAGACTCTAGCAGAGAACCGAACGCAATGGAGACGCACGGCTGAAGCCCTATGTTCCTTTAGGAATTAAAGGAAACAATAATAATAATGATTTTATCTCTCGTCTTCGTGGTCTCTGGTCAGATATAATGAGGTTCAACGTGGAGTGTATGATAGGCAGGGGAAGTAAATCGATGAGGTTATGAAGCTTTATCGATTGGGATTGTTAGGACATACCGTTAAGGACATGCCAAGTAACCACCTTCCTCGTCGAACAATGTTAGCTGACCGACCAGGTTGGAAAAGAGTCAAGGGCGGTCAAACCAAAAACCTGGCATCAAGTCATGAACTCTTTGACCGTTGGTTTGAGCCAATCATGTAGGGTCGTGTAGGCCACTTGGCTGGGATAGATTTCGTCAATTTACTGACGCAAGCCAAAAAATAGAGGGGAAAAAAACAAGGAGAACAACAGACATGAGTGAATGTATGCTGCTAAAAATCCAAAGAGCAAAAAGCCTAAGGAGTGTAACTATCCTATACTCATTGATTTACGATGTTTCTTCAGATGAGGGGTCATCTCGTGACTAAATCCACCTTCATTTACTTAACCTTCCAAGTTTACTTCCTTTCTTGTCATTAACTGAACTATTTATCTTTGTAGTAAAGGTTCAAGTCAAATAGTAATAAGTCACAAAAGGTAAACAGTCAGTTTAACAGATTGTTTCTGTTTCTCTTTTGGTTATATTATTGAATGACCCAGATTGGATTAGACTAGACGAGAAACAAGTGAAAAAATTAATGATCAAAAAAGATAATGCAGGAATTCAACTAACACTAATGACTCGAAGACTAATTAGACGACAAAATGAAGACAATGCGCAAAACGGTTAGTGTAACTTTAAGAAGCAAACGAGATTGTTGCTGAAAAGGTGGAGAAGAAAGTGGAGTGGTTGAACACACAGACAATTTCACTTGTTGTTTGATAATCAACGAAATCTCAGCAAAGATATCTAAGCCTGCTCCTGTGAAGTTAAGTACACAGGCCGGACCAATAGAATACTGTCTGGATGCTCACACGAACATCTCCCAATACGGTTACCGAAAGGAGAAATTAGACGGATCAATTTATACATTTCTTCAGTAGCTGGTTCTTACAAATTATCGCGCATTTAATATGAGGTAAGGTCAAGTCGTTCGAAGGCTTCCCGGCTAAATATACTTTTTCCACAGCAGAAGCTATTGCTATACACAAGGAAAACCCTGAACTGTGTGTAGAGAAGTGGTTTGTCCAATCGCTTTTACTATCTTGGCCTAAGAAGGAAATCTCGCACACAAAGAGTCAAACTTCAGGTCAAGGAAACAATCAGTTCCAATACAAGTAGCCTAGAGGGTGTGAAAGCACACAAAAGCATCCACAGAGTCACGTTCAATGTGCCCAGGAGAGATGACTAATAAACTCGTGTAGAAATCTAAAAGCTTACTTCAATTCAAATTGAAGTATGCGCTGAAGATGTCGCCTAGTAGGGCGATGAAAGCTTCGCAAATTAACTATCCAGCTCAGAGAACACAACCAAATCAAAATCATCCACCTGAGCTACAAATCTTCTCTATCATATCTCACTCCTACAATAACTTGATATGTAATTCATTTCCATTCGGTTTTTCTTCCTTTTTCCTTTAAAAGCCTAACTTCAAAATATGCTTCATAAATACTGCAAATATCCTACCCTTGAATAATGTTCCTGTTCCCAAGAACTTGCAGTTTTAATACAGCGAAGTCAAACCTTAGGCACCGAAGAGGCACGAACGCACCAATGACCTTAGAAGAATCAGTCGGCAAGTTGTTGAAACGAGGTAAAAGGCACTGTATTCACGGAAAAAATATGCTTAATGAAGTGGTATTATATTGAACGGGATATCTCATAAGTTTTAAGTCAGGTGGTTTAGGTTAAAGACAGGTTAGGCTTAGGTCAACTTAATTAGGAAGATATTATGGTCGGTTAGAGGTTAGAAGACCGAATTTACCTTTCAGCACTGTGGTTCTTTCCAAGGTCACTGGTGCATTCGCGCCTTTTCGGTGCCTAAAGTCTATCTTCGCCTTCAATGGTAATCATATCTGGGCGATTCTCACCACTTAATGTTTTCAGACTGCGTAATTTATTGTTTTTCTTGACATGTGACTTCACATCTTTCCTTACCAAATGATACAAACAATTGACCTACCTTAGAGGCAATTTCTTAAAGTAAGTTTACGAGAAGAATATTCTCTGTCAAACTTTGTGTTTTAAGACTATTTTTTCTTTTGACAAGATTGTACAGCTTACAGAACAGATAAGACACACTATTTCTCATTAAGGGTCGAATGATCTGAACAACAGTGGCTTTACAATGTGACCATTAGACAGAGAGAGAAGTTTAAAGAAAATTCCAGATGATTAAGTAGCGTTATTTGCATAACATTTATCGAGATGAATGGAATGACATGAAAAACTTGAAGGTTAAATACATATATTCAGATCGAACGGCCTTGTGTAGCAGTAATAATTTATTATTATTATTTCCTTTAATTCCTAGAGGAACATAGGGCTTCAGCCGCGCGTCTCCATTGCGTTCAGTTCTCTGCTAGAGTCTTCACCTGGCTCCAAGTCTGTCCACACGTTTTCATCTCCTCTTCACATGACCTTCTCCAAGTCACCCTTGCACTGACGACCAACTCGCCGCTTCCCTTTCGGATTCCACTCGAGCAATGGCTTGTCTAGTGATGTCACTTGGTGGTTTCCTCAGAGTATGGCCAATCCATCTCCATTTCTTCCTGCCTATTTGTTTCACAATCGGTTCCTACTGGGTTGGTTCGCTCCCAGAGGTCTCTGTTTCTGATCTTTTTTGGCTGGCCATCTGATCTTGAGTGAACTATTGAGCGAAGACAGCTGTTGATGTAGGTCTGTAGTTTGTTCGAAGTGCTCTTCGCGACGCGCCAAGTCTCTGATCCGTATAGTTGCACTGACTGACTTCACATTGGAGTTGAAAATCCGGATCTTATTTTTGATGCTGAGTGCTGTTGACCTCCACACAGACTTGAGAGTAGTGAAAGCTTGTCTTGCTTTCCCGATCCTTGCTTTTATATCCTCGTCAGTTCCCCCTGTAGTTGAAACGATGCTTTCTAGGTAGGTAAAGGAGGTAGTTTCTTTTAGGTTCCTCCCATTTATTCTGACTGTTGTCTGTTGTTGTTTTTGCTGTTGGTGGTGTTGCCCAGGAATCCTTATTACCACTGTTTTCTCTATGTCCACCTGAAGTCCTATCTTTGATGCTTCTTCTGCCAACTTGTAGTAGTAATAATAATGTAGGTTATTATTATTATTTTAACTGAACATCCTGTAGGAAGAGCGAATATTTTGCACTATAAAATACACTGAAAACTCTTCTTTGCATTAAAACATATTTCTCTTATTAAAACCAATAAATTACATGTTAAAATAAGAACTTGAACAATAAGATATTGGTATATAATCAATAATTTTGAGTACTTTTGCCTAAAAAGGAATTGGTTTTACAATTCAATCTGTATTTAAACAAAAAAACTGTTTTTCTGATTTTTTTCCTTCTTCTTCGAATTACTTCTTTTAATTCGACAAAGAGCAACAGCACACACAAATAAATTCTGTTTACACACTAAACATGGAATGATGCACCAAAAAAAATCGATCTCGAAAGCACTAGTCAGTCATGTATAGTCTAAGCTATTTTCACCAGTCTTTATACTACACCACACGATATAATATAGTAAGTAAAATAATGAGGTTGTGAAGCTATATCGATTGGGACTGCTAGGATGTGTTACGCATGCCAAGCAATCGCCTTTCTCGTTGAGTAATGATAGCTGATATAGAATTAGGTCGGCAGTAGGCTAGGAGAGTGGTGAAACCAAAACATACTACCAAATCTTCGGTTGTTGGTTTGAGGAACATAGGGGTGGTGTAGACTGTCTGATTGTGGGGTGGTGAGGATGCTGAGAATCAATGACTTGAGACTATGGTGATATACTGCTCAAAATCCTTCTAAATGGCATAGATGTATTCACTCTTTGTAATCAATCCCCCAGGCCCATTAAATCTGCATGATTCTCCCCTAAATTTCTGCTCATTATAGTTCTCTTGAACTTCTTTCTCTTCCTTCTTTTTTTCCTCATCTTCGTACACTACACGGAGTGTGGTAACTTGAACTTCTACACTTCTGTGCAAAATTCTATGTTGAAATTCATTTCGACAGTAGATAACTACAGTAGTCGCCTATCCATTAGTTAGGCACGCACGAATCTTAGTGACTTGAATGAACAACAACAACAATTGCCCAACAATTGTCCAACAATTGCCATATTTCTTGACTTGAAGGCGGCCTTCGACTCCGTGGATCGAGAGGTTCTATGGCAGTGTTTGACTATGAAGGGAGTGCCAAGAAAGTACATTGCACTAATCAAGGCACTCTACTCAAACTCACGTAGCTGTGTAAGGGCTTATGGGGAATTGTCATCTGAATTGATAACAACCAGTGGTGTCCGTCAAGGATGTCCACTTTCCCCTTTTCTGTTTAACTTCATCATAGATATGCTAATGGAAGTATCCTTAACCGAACGTAACGACTTAGGAATCGACTTGTTACCAGGGAATAGTCTTATAGACTTAGAATACGCAGACGACATAGTCCTGTTAGGGGAGGGCGCTGACAAAATGCAGAGTCTTCTGAACACCTTGAGCAGCAATCTTCGTATGTTTGGCATGCGATTCGCCCCTGTGAAATGTAAGATGCTGCTACAGGACTGGACTACGTCAACTCCTAGCTTAATGATAGGGAGTGAAGTGATAGAACATGTTGACCACTTCACCTATTTAGGAAGTTGTATCAGCACCAACGGATTGATTGGTGACGAAATCACAGCACGGATCCAGAAAGCTAGGGCTGCTTTCGCTAACTTACACCGTCTCTGGCGTAGGCGTGACATCCGACTGTCAACCAAGGGACGTGTATACTGCTCAGCAGTTCGCTCCGTCCTTCTCTATGGTGGTGAGACGTGGCCATTGAGAGCGGAAGACATGAAGAGATTGTCTGTTTTTGACCACAGATGTTTACGATCTCTTTCTCGCGATAGGTGGTATAATAAGGTAAGTAATGTTGACGTTAGGCGTAGAGTGTTGGGCAAAGAGGGAAAATCAATCAACGAGGCTATGAAGTTACATAGATTGAGATGGTTAGGCCACGTGCTGCGCATGCCTAACCATCGTCTCCCCCGACGGACGGGCATTACTAGCTGATATAGGTGCAGGTTGGAAAAGAGTAAGTGGTGGCCAAACAAAAACATGGCATCAGTCCATGAAATCCTTGACAGTTAAACTCAGTCAGGTAGGGAGATGCAGACTTCCAGGTTAGGGCTCACCCTCGGGACTCTAAGAATCAATGGCTGGAGACAATAGGTGACATGGCTCAAAATCGTTGTCAATGACTTACTCAGATGCATTCAGTCTCTGTAGTCTTTCATATTCCTTTCTACCATTACTCATTCTGTTTCACTCCTATACTTGTCAAAACTCTATTGATTCCCTGCACTCATCTTCTTGTCTTCCTTGTGTGCTATTTGGAATGTGGCAACTGGAACTGCTGCACTTTGGTGCCAAGTTCTATGTTGAATCCAGACAGACAGACTTGAATGAACAACACAACAATATGTCATCCAGTTTCGTGTTAATTTCTCCTGTCTTTCATAATAACAATACACAAAAACACACAGACACGCTAATAAATCAAGAGATGAAACTGACCGAAGAACTTATTCAATTGTTGGTTTGTAGGGATTTGATTGGTTAACAGAATTTTCATCATGAGCTGACATTAGTTAGAGAACCATTGGAAAACCTGGGAGTACTGGACAGCTGTTTCGTCCTAGTTTGGGACACTTCATCAGTACGCACCCACCGACAGGATTCGAACCCAGGACTTTCTGGTTACAAGGCGAGCTCGTATACCATTAAGCCACTGGGACCCGATCCAATGGCCAACCCATGAATTCGAACTTCTGCCAATTCACGACATAGCGCGACCCCTAGCCAATGTCTTCGGCGAGTATTTGTCTTCAGACCCGATCTCCTGCACCCTACTGGTCACGACTTATTTATTTCCACTTATTTATTAAGTAAATAGACTCTTTAATAATGTACATACATACATATCATGATCATTATCAAGTGACTTGGTTATGCACTGAACAATCAAATAATTGCTTAACAAAACAAAAAACTTTCTTTTCTCTCATCTACTTTGCCTTTTACAAATCTGTTTCTATTTATGCAGACATTTATGTGAGTTATATTTGCTTGTCTACACAGGGGCCAATAGTATTCTCAATACTGTTGAAAGTTAACGCTATATATATATATATATATATATATATATATATATATAACCATAATGAACGGAAATGTACAGAAGAATGCATAATTACATGCAGAATAGTGACAATTTAATGGATCTTGGAGAACACACGGAGTGAATGCACCCGCACCATTGAGAACGATTTTAATCCGTGTTACCAATATGCCTAAGGCTCTGATCCTCAGAATCTCAAACACCCCACAACCAGGCAATCTGCACTTACATAGGTGTCTCAAACTAACAGTCAAAGTCTTCATGGATTGATTGATACCACACGTCCTTCGATCGACAGCCGGATTTCATATCTACGCTAAAGATGACTAAAACTGGTGAAAACCACAAGAGCTTTTTGTATCCGTGCTGAGATTTCCTCAGCAATCAGCAATCCGTTAGGTAGTTGATGCAACTTTCCAAATAAGTGGACTGATCAACAATGCTCAACCACTTCGGTCGGTCTTCGACATAGAACTTTGCACATATGTGCGCCAGTTCAAGTCGTCACACTCCCTCGTTGTAAGCACACAAAGCAAGAGAAGAAAGTAGGAGAAATGCATATTAGAGACAGTAAACAGAGGTGTGAGACAAAGGAATAGTAATAACGAAGAACAAAACAGTTTCATTGGAAATCATAAGTCACAAAGAGTGGATGCATCTGCGCCAGCCATTGAGAACGATTTTGAGCCATATCACCAATTGTTTCCAACCATTGGTTTTTACCATACCGAGGACCCCAACCAGACAGAAGTCTACACCTTCCTACGTGGCTTAGACTCACTGTTGTAGATTTCATTGACTGGTGCTCAACCACTTCGCTCTTGTTTATCTCTTTAAACTAGGATTCGGTACAGACAGACCAGTTCTAAAGCATCAGCGTCTTACATTTGACGGGCGGAGAATTGCACGGCAAACATACTAAGATTTCCACTCAACATATTCACAGAACCAACAATTTGAAACGTAAATATTTCAACAACAACAAGAAAAAAAAACACAAACCTGAACGCTTCCGACGGCCTATATGATCACAACCATTTTTAATGATTACCGATGATGGTTCCGGTAGAATAACAGTTGGATGCGGTGATAAATCAAAAATTTGTTGCTGTTGTTGTATTGGTTGTGTTGGTGTGGGCTTGCAACAATGTTGAATATTTCCTGATGGAATTAATGATGGTGGTGATAAATGATAAAAGCGTTGCTGATTTTCACGATTATTAATACTATTGATAATTTCATAGGAATCAAAAAGATTAACATTATTATTATTATTACTATTATTAGTATTATTATTAATGTTCTGACACAGAAGGAATGATGATGAAGCTGCCGCGTTGGAGACAGGTGATACAGATGCATACTGTGTTGTATTCCCGCCGATAAACTTTTTGTCATAATTCTGTTGAAAGTTGAACGGTGAGTTAATCGATGGTGGCGAAGATGATGATGATGACGATGAAGATGAATGGAAGGAATACTCTGGATGTTCCTTGATTTTCATCAATAAAACATCTTTGTCAGTAATACTTTTATTTATCTCATGGGATAGATTTATTGATTGCTGATGAACAGATTTAACAGGAGCAGCAGTAAGGGGGCCAGGAGTAGCAGAGAAATGATAGACTTGATTCGTTGGAATGCAGCATTCAGTAGGCATAGTTTGTGGAGATTTTTTACACGGGTAGTTATGATGATGATGATAATAATAGTAATCATTTATTTCTTGTTGACTTAAAGGCACTGGTGACGTTTCAAACGCAAATGGTTCGTTTTCTGAAGTACCGTCTACAACAAGAAAAAAAAATTAAATTTTAAACACATTTTTTTGAGAACATCTGCGTCGGTGGCATAGCGGTTAGGACGCTTGCCGACCATGCACATAGTCCGGGGATCGATCCCCGGCCACAGACGCACTCCTTTACCTCAATAAGCTAGAACTAAAAGCTGGTGAAGAGGAAAGGTTGGGCATGAGGCTAGCAACCTTATCCTGTAAGATAAACACTGCTACAGAAACTTCAAGCCACTAGCCTATGTTCCACTGGGGAACGTGAAGGAAAAAACAAACGAAATTTGCCTCTAGGGATTTGATTAATTTCAAATTCTGATTACAGATTGACATCAATGTTAAGGGAACCATTGAAAATCAACAGAGAGTACTGGACAGATGATTCATCTAACTATGGGACTCCAACAGCATGCACTCATGATCCTTGCCGAGTATGAAACACGAAATCTTTAGGCGACAAGGAGAGCTCATTGGCCATTTAGCTACTGGGACGGAACCTACACAGGGCTTATGAATTCTAACTTCTAACGCCTATTTGTGACATATTTAGCAATATGGCCAACCGATACCATAGGCAATTATTTATTTTTACATGCACCCTGGCGGACTATACACCCCTTCCCTCCCCCCACTGGGCAAGACTTCTCGCCAGAACACTATCCTGAAGTCAGTTACTGATGAGCAGTACTACTGAGTAGACAAAAAAATGGGATAACAGAAACAGAATGGACAGAACAGGTGAGGGTAATTTTTAAAAAATCTACGGCAAATATTTAGAATTTTGAAGAGAATAAAAAGTAAGTACATCTGTGTTATTGTGAACCCTATTTAAGGTTTAATGTACGGTGTGAGATGGTAAATATTCATTAACTCAGGTATCACTACCTTCATTTAATAGACAGTAGTTAGATTAGGTTAGACAAGAGATACAGGTGAACAGATTAAGATACAGAAGCCATCCATGCAGTCATTGGTTGTTAGTTAAAGCCGTGTGAGTACATGTGATATACATGTCTCGTGCAGTGCCCGGGAAAACACACGATTACTGGACAGATATATCCAGTCCTAGTTTGGGACTCCTCAGTAGTACTCACTCACCGGAGGTCGAGCCCAAGAAAAGCTCGTAGATCGTTCAGCCACTGGAACTTGATCTAATGCTCCATGAATTTCAACTTTTACCAATTAGTGATTTTAGTGTGAATCCTGGTGAGTGAGTGCTGATGAAGAGTCCCAAACAGAGACAAAACAAACTTCCAGTACTCCCTAGTTTTCAATGGTTTTCTGACTGACGTCAATCCATGATCAAACTTGAAGGATAGAAGTTCTCTCTTCAACTGGTCCATCAACACTTTAAAATACCTCTATAAATGAGTATATCATAAGACGACACTGTGCATATTGTTCTCAACAAGTGTTTGGCATTCCTACCAAGTCAATGAGTGTAAAGCTTATTCCTGTAAAACTGGAGCTGTAGCTCATTGGTCTGAATAATTTTTTTGACTGAGACATGGATATGCACACACTGTTTGCCAAGTTACACTGCTCTTGTTCTAACTATATCTACAAAATAATTATGAAAACTCTTTTAAATCACTTACGATTAGAATCAACACAAGATGAAGTATGATTACTCGAGCGTAAAACCGTTAATTCTGTCTTCAATTGAACATTAATCTCTTCCAGTTCACGGATACGATCGATTGCACGGCGAAGAACAGCAGATTTATTCATCTAAATTGAAATTAGAAGTGGCATTTCTCAGAGAAAAGTTCATAAAATATAATTGAAATGAGTAAATCATAACGTGTGTGTAAAACTAAAAAAGGCATAGCAGTCAGGCGACGTAAAATAAACAGAAATTTTTTTTTCACATGGTGTCTTGCAGGAATTTTGATTGATTTCAAGATTCATCACGAACTAACTTCTGATTTACAGAACCAGAAAACTCCGCTGACAAAATGCAGAGTCTTCTGAACACCTTGAGCTGCAATCTTTGTATGTTTGGCATGCGATTCACCCCTGTAAAATGTAAGATGATGTTACAGGATTGGACTACACCGACTCCTAGATTAGAAATAGGAAGTGAAGTGGTAGAGCACGTTGACCGCTTCACTTACTTGGGAAGCACTATCAGCTAGTGCCAACGGGTTGATCTCTGACGAAATCTCAGCACGAATACAGAGGGCTAGTTTCGCATATGCCAGTTTACGCCGTCTCTGGCGTACACGTGATATCCGACTATCGAACAAAGGGTGTGTTTACTGCTCATCAGTCCGCTCCGTCCTCCTTTATGGCTGTGAGACCTGGCCATTGAGAGGGGAAGACATGAAAGCCTTGCTAGCTGTCTTTGGTCATAGGTGCCTGCGTTCTATCTCCCGCGTGAAGTGGTATAATAAGGTGAGCAATATTGAGGTTAGGCATTGGTCGAGTGCTAGGTAAGGAGGGGAAATCAATCGACGAGGCTGGGAAGCTACATCGACTGAGATGGTTAGGCCATGTGTTACGTATGCCTAGTCATCACCTGCCTTCCTCGACAACGGACAATGTTAGCTGATATAAGGTCAGGCTGGAAAAGAGCTAGCGGCGGTCAAACCAAAACATGGCTTCATCAGTCAATGAAATCTACAACAGTTAGTCTAAGCCACGTAGGAAGGTGTAGACAACCTGACTGGTTGGGGTCCTAGGGATGGTAAAAACCAATGGTTGGAAACAATTGATGACATGGCTCAAAATCGTTCTCAATGGCTATCGCAGATGCATCCACTCCTTGTGACTTATGATTTCCAATGAAACTGTTTTGTTCTTCGTTATTACTATTTCTTTGTCTCACACCTCTGTTTACCGTATATACTATGCATTTCTCCTACTTTCTTCTCTTGCTTTGTGTGCTTACAACGAGGGAGTGTGGCGACTTGAACTTCCGCACATATGTGCAAAGTTCTATGTCGAAAACAGACAGAACCACTTAAAACTAGGGCATACCTAACAGAAGTTAAAACTGATAGGCTATTTGATTCAGTCCCAGTTGCTAAATAGTCAACGAGCCCGCCTTCGTAATTTGAAGGCCCTGGGTTCGATCCCTCATGACCTCCTGGGTGTGTACTGCTAAAGGGTCCCCCCCAAAAAAGCAGAATAGCTGCCCAGTACTCTCTGTCGCTTTCCAGTAGTTGTCTAACTGAAGTCAGTCAGTTTGTGATCAACCTTGGAAATATGTTAAGCGGAAATCAATGGTCAGTATCGATTGCTTACAAAAGTCGCTTAGTTAATGTGACATATCAGCTGTTTGCTGCATAGTTTACGTTGTGTTAATAAATTCTGACACACAAGCTTCAGAAAATCAGTGTAACAGGCAGATACCTTTAACCACGTCTTTTTGTTCAGCTGGAGAATAGATGACCTAACCTAACAAGATATGAAAACCTTGTAAGTCACTCAACGAACAACTACTGAGCTAAAATATTACCATTACACGCCTAAGAAACAAACTGATTGTACATAAAATTGACAACGAGCCAAAATGGTCATGAGATGTAGTGATATTGCCTCAGTAACTGCTGCAAGGCTTCACCCCTACAGCTAACTGAGTCTCTTGACTAATGCCTGTGTTACATCTTCAGTGAGTTAGTCTTAATATAAATTGAAGAAGTCGAAGATTTCATAAAGCTGCACTTGGGCGATAACATTTACTTGACACAACCGTTAAACTATAGACAAAGTTCTATTGGTGATGATACAAGATGCACTTGCTGCTGCTGGATTCAACATAGAACTTCGCACCGAAGTCCAGCAGTTCCAGTTGCCACATTCCAAATAGCACACAAAGGTAGACAAGAGGATGAGTGAAGAGAATCAATAGAGTTTTGACAATTATAAGAGTGAAACAGAATGACTAATGGTAGAAAGGAATATGAAAGATTACAGAGACTGAATACATCTGCGTAAGCCATTGACAAGGATTTTGAGCCATGTCACGTATTGTCTACAGCGATTGATTCTTAGAGTCCCGAGGACGGGCCCCAACCCGGAAGTCTGCATCTCCCTATCTGACTCAGTTTAACTGTCAAGGATTTCATGGATTGATGTCATGTTTTTGTTTGGCCACCACTTACTCTTTTCCAACCTGCACCTATATCAGCTAGTAATGCCCTTTGGGGAAGGCGATGGTTAGGCATGCTCAGCACGTCACCTAGCCATCTCAATCTATGTAACTTTATAGCCTCGTCGATTGATTTTCCCTCTTTGCCCAACACTCTACGCCTGACGTCAACATTACTTACCCTATTATACCACCTAAAGTGAGAAAGAGATCGTAGACATCTATGATCAAAAACAGTCAACCTTTCCATGTCTTCAACTCGTATTGGTCACGTTTCAGAGCCATAGAGAAGGACGGAGCGAACTGCTGAGCAATACACACGTCCCTTGGTTGATAGCCGGATGTCACGCCTACGCCAGAGCTGGCGTAAGTTAGCGAAAGCAGTACAAGATGCACTTACACAAATATAATTCTGGTTTTGAAAATTACTACTTGATGGGCTACTCTACATTTATAAACTCGAGGTATGCGCTTATATAGAATCCTGTTAATCGTGTACTGGAAGATAAGAATTGTGTGAAACATTTGTTTAAGCCCTCAACTTACAGGCAACGGGTGGCATGTTCGAGTTCTCCCACCCCCATCTTCTCCAGCTTAGACAACTAAGTTATGTCAACAGCCTTCACACACAATAAGCGTAACTAACAGCTTAGCACATCAGAAATCTATGCTGTGTAATTAAGGTCAAACTGAATTCTGAGTACGTACTACTACCACCCTGCTACCACAGGGTTTTAGACTTTGGCGTCAAAAATTCTGTCGATAAACGCTCAAACCTTCTGACATGAAGTACGTACTTCAAACAAACAACTAATGACAACTAAGATGTCCTTTTAATTCTACACACCGTATTTCCTCAGTGACTGACTTCAAAAACGATCCAAATGGGTTTGGGTGAGTAAATTAATAACAGTGGAACAATTCGAACCAGTTATAGCAGCAAACTATAATATTTGACTATGAAAATCTAAATAAGAATACTACAGTTAAGAACATAGGTTAAAGAGACAGAAGCAACAGACTATTCACTTCATATGTTTTAATTTCTGCTTTATGAATAGTAAGTATATTTGATTTCACCTAACTGTGAGATGTGCATCAGTGGCACAGTGGTAGAATGCTCGCCAACCACACATGTGGTCCGGGGTTCGATCCCCGGCCGATGCATTCCGTTTACCTTACTAAGCCAATAATACGACTGGTAAAGAGGGAAGGTTGGGCATGAGGCCAGTAATTCCATCCCGCAAAAATAAACACCACTGCTAATGAAACTTCAAGCCTCTACCTTGAAGCCCTATGTTCCACTGGGAACGTAAAGGAATAAAAAAAAGAGACAAAGGACATACGAATGACTTTACTTAGGATGTGGAAGTTACATAGATTGAGACGGATGTCACGCATGCAGAGCTGCCATCTTTCTCAATGAGAAATAATAGCTAACATAAGGGTAGGTTGAAAAAGAATTCCATATCAGTTTGTTTATTAGATGTATCAAACAGTGAAACAGTATTATTTACTGGATGACGTTTCGAACAAAATTTATTGTTTATGGTGGATTATGAACAACAAATTTTGTTTAAAACACTGTCATCCAGTAAATAATACTGTCCCACTGTGTGATACATCTAATAAACAAACTGATATGGAATTACTTAATACCACAGTGCCCAGGTTTTACACAACCATTAATAGGTTGAAAAAGAATTAGGAGTATAAAACTTGGGCACTGTGGTAGAGCAAAACTCCATTATGGATAAGATTTCATTTTGATAAATCACACAGTGGTGTTATACAGTAATATTAACCGATAACCACGTTTCGAGCACAAACCAATGCTTATAATCATATCAAGTCAATCACTCAAACAACTTTCTAGCTTCATTTAATAAACATGAGTGGAATCGATTAGATATTTGCATAAAAATCAATATAGGTTAATGTACATTCAGAAATAATGAGTGTTATTGATCAATTACAATCAGATGGGAAATAAGACGAGTGTTTTTATATTTATTATTATTATTATTTATTATCCTCCTCTGATTTGACTGACAGGTGGTAATAATATCTTCCATATTTCTGGTATTTGCATTGAGTCACTTCTGTTGCATGTGATGGGTGGGTGTCGACTCAATGAACCAGGCAGGATTCAGTAATCAATCTCTCTCTCCACCTACACAGATTACTTCTTAGAATCTTAACCCTCTCCCACCATACTATTGTGTGGTTTTGCGTTAATGCGTGAAGAGTAATCGCTGAGCTTTTTTCTAAATTACTTATCTTCGCGAGTGGCGTCAACCATTCTTGCCTTAGCTAAATTTTTATGTTCCGACAATCTAATTACCCCGATCTACTAGTTTGACCTATATAGTTGACCTCACAGTCGTTGCAAGGTATTTTGTAAATTATATTATTTTGTTTAATTGGGTCCACCGGGTCTTTTAATCTACAGAGCTTGTCTCTGAGTGAGTTTGTGGGTTTGAATGCCACCCTAATTCCCGCTTTATTGAGAATCCTACGTAGGGTTTCAGATGTCCCCTCTTTAGATAGTATAACAGTAGATGACTTATATTCTCTCTTATTTATGTTATCACTACTAGTTTCACAATTATTTTTATTTTGCTTTTGGCCTTTACTGATCTTCCTAATGAATTTTATAGGATAGTTATTTGATACCAACGCTTCTTCTCTATCTGTTTTATTTCATCATTTAGGTCTTTTTTGTGCTACTTAGTGCTACTGCTCGGTTTGTTAGACACTTAACTAAGCCTGCCTTAACAGTTAACGGATGAGACGAATTAAAGTCTAAATATCTATTAGAATGCGTTGGTTTTTTATCAACACTAGTGTGTAGTTTACCTTCTTCTATTCGTTTTATTTTACAATCTAACATAGCTAATTCTCCTTGTTCATTTTCCGATTCAAATGTGAATTTTATTCCATCTACAGTCAACCAGTCAAATCAGAGGAGGATAATAAGTAATCTTAAAATTCTATTTCAATTCACTAACATCATAACATACTAACAAGTTACTTATTTTGACTATAAAAACACTCGTCTTATTCCCCATCTGATTGTATATGACTGATAACACTCATATTATTATTTCTGAATGTACATTATCTCATTTGGTTTTTTATTCAAATATCTAATCGATTCCACACATGTATATAAATGAAAAAAAGTTGTGAGTAACTTGATATGATTATGAGCAATAGTTTGTGCTCGAAACGTCATCAGTTAATATTACTGTATAACACCACTGTGTGACTTATCAAAATAAAATCTTATCCATAATGGAGTTAAGAGTGGTTGGGTTGAAACATGTGATCAATCCATGAAGTCTTCAATCGTTGCTTTGAACTATTTAAGGAGGTGTAGACTGTCTAGTCAGGATCCTCGGGATACTAAGAACCAGTGGCTGCAGACTGTTGATGATATGGCTCAAAACTTTTGTTAATGGAGTATATGTACAGTGTACTACATTGAAACTCAGCCAGTCAAACAGAGAAAATACAGTAATGTCTCTTTCTTCATCAAAGTTACTAGACTTAAGGTAAAAGATTAAACGGAAAACAACTTGGGGGAGCTGCAGTTGGACACAGGACAATAAGTACATGAGTGACATTTGGGTACTGTGACACGCATAACCCCACATTAGGTAACTTTATTTGATATAACACATATTAAAATAGTGTTATTAACCAAATTAGTTTTCGAACATGATTTACTGCTCATGTTCATATCAGGGTATTCACAGGACTAACCCATTTTTTTTACCATTCTATATATATCATACTTATTTTGTATCGCCTCAAAATGTTGCAACTTCATAGACACTCGTTTATGTTATGCTGTGGTATAAATTATTCAACTTATATTAAACGGCTATGAGATTTGAGATTTTCAGCCTGAATGTCTTTATTCAGGCCCACAGCAGCTGCTTGTCTTCAACTACTGCCTTTTCGATACTTTGATCAGTACATATTTCTTCAACTTTGATCACCTTAAGTTTTCAAAAAAAAATAGTGAAGCATCCAATGGAAACCATAGTCGAGAGACACGTAAATTCCTGTAAAAATTGGGCAAAGGCCGTACTGTGAGACCCTCTGCACCCTCCTTATTCACAATTATCCCCTTGTATCTCATCAGGTAGAACGAGAAGTCAATATAAGAAATTATATGCTCGTACCACTAAGTACAAAAATTCTACAATACCGTACTTAGCCCGTATTTTATGTGATGAAGACACTGTTAGACGTGAAACATATAAGTTACTATGTAATTAGCATAGTGAATCGACCCTTTCATTGTTCATCTTTCTGTAATTCTATGGTGTCACCCTTTCTATCGTTTAATTATAACTTTGCTATTTTTATTTTAGTTGTTATTACTATTATTACTATAATTTTATATTTTTCTCCTTATCCTCTACTGTAATTGCTACATAGCTCCTATAAAAACGTTTTGTTATCATTATTATGTATTAATTATTCCGTTTATCTACTTTTTTTGTTTGTTGTTGTCGTTTTTTAGTAAATTAGATGCAATACTGTACTGAATGCTGAAAATTCCTTGCTGTATCATTAATACTGTTTTTGGAATAAAGCAAAAATTATTATTATTATTATTACCCAGCATTGTGGGATAAGAGTGTAACACAAAAAACGCCAAGTGAGACATCCCTTAAAATAACACAGATTGCTATAGCAGAAAGTCCAAGTGGATCTCTGAAAATTTTTTTAACTTACCTTAACATCTCCAGTTGATGTGGGCGCCAAAAGCCTACGGAGTTCATCTATTTTCCCATTAATACTTGCACGATAACGTTTTTCAATAGCATTATGAGGTGCTCGTTTCGTAGTATCATTATTTTGTTCAGAATTTTCAGTGTTCACTTTGACATCTGGAAATACAATGATGAAATACATATGCATACAAATTTTCACGTAAAATATGATTACGTTAATAAAATAAAGCACACTATATATAAACATATGAAATAAGGTAGTAAAAGCATCAGTGGTTCTATGGTAGAATGCTCGCCAATCACACACGTGGTCCAGGTTCGATTCCCGGTCAACGCACACCTAAACCTTTCCCAGTCGGTAGTAAGCCAAGCAGAGGGAAGACTGCGAGAGAAGGACTAGCAACCCCCCTTCGTGTAAAAATAACACCGCCACTAGTGAAACTTCAAAGCTGAAGCTTGAAGTCCTACGTCCTACTGAGAATGAAAAACGTCCAAGGGGAATATACATAGCATCTCATTCGGAGTTATATCACGTGAATTTACGTACAATTTCTGTTTAACCCCTAAAGGTATTTTGTTTCAATTACTCGCAAAGCTTGCTAAAAAAGAGAGAAGTGGAAGCCAAAATTTATGGTAGATAACAGAGGATAACAGAATAATAATGTCTTGTTTCACTACATTTTATAGCTGAGCAGGAAAATTTGGGAATGAGTTACAAAGGATGCAGATAAGCAGGAAATACCATTAAATTCTGTGCTATCAGCATCACCAAATGATGACTTCTAAGGAACTGGTTGACTGCGAATAGTCATCATTGACATTAGTACTTATCACTAACTAAAATTCCTAATTTTCTTTGTTTTTGTTTGCCTAAGACGATCGGTCTTTGCCAGCATATCAACTCCTAGGACGCGGTCTGTCTGTGATGAGATACCAAAAAACCACTGTCCAATTAATTAATTTGCTGTGTAAAGCCTGTCACCACTCACATCCATGGTTCTGTTGCTCAGTGGATCGGACATTTGACTGCCAACGAATGGGTCACAAATTCAAACCCTGCTGCACCTACTGAAGTTTGGGAAGGCAGATAGCATCACGAACCATCACACAATAGATGCGGCTTATGGCCAGCTGTGCATGGAGTTGTAAGTAGTTACTGCATAACATTATCACTGACATTCGTAGCCACGGGATATTACTATTTTACTGTTAAAAGCCAGTAGGTTTGAGAAGACCTTTCACTTTGAAGTTTACTGAGTTTTCCATAAGAATCCAAAGGTGGATGTGGTTTTACGAGACTCAGTACTAAATTAGTGCTGTAGAAAATATCCCAACGGCAACGATCATTGAAGGTTTTATAGACATGAATTCCGAGTTAGTTACGTGATGCAGTAATGCATGTACGTGCAATAGGGCTATATTGTCAATCTGAAATCAATAGATGACCACATCTCTTTGGAAGCAACCAAAGTCTCATATGCAGAGAAATGAAGTGAAGTGAAGGCCACTGAGAAGATGGTTGCTTATCATGTTTACAAAATTTTACCACTAAAATACAAATGCTTAATCCCATCTTCTTGAAACCACTCATTTGAGACAAATGGAAGGAGAAACATAAACAGAAGTGGAATTTCGAGTTACTACCTACCGCACATATTACCCTTTCAATAAAATATACTACAAAGACACCGTCTGCAACACAATATAAACGAAAGTGAAACATCCTTAGGCATAATGATTAAATTCCTGACATTAAGAATGAACCCACCTTTTTCCTCACCTTTAAAGACTGAGAAATCTGTCTTTTGATCACCAGAGTTTGTTGAGCAATACTGCGCAGAATATGGAGTTCCCAAGCCACATATGCCTTTGTTGAGACTAACATTTTGTACTTCTGAATTACACAACAGTTTGGATACCAAAGGCACATGAAATGTATTTTGAACAGGTGTAGGAACGTGAGCATACTGTTCAACCTGAAGACAGTTGGAACGGTCTAGAGAGATAGATTCCTGCGTAAATCTTTGTTTATTAAGACCGTCATGTCCATCGACAGCAGTTAAGGTGTCTGGTCCTGAGACAATTGAAACATAAACACAAATAAATTACCTGTATGTGTCGTAATAACACCTGAAACTGGCTTTGACTTCACTAACGATTCTACAGTCTTCTTTTCTGATGACTGGCATATTGCTCCATTATTCACATGTTTGAGCTCCGAACTGTCCAAAATGGTGGACAAATCGAAAGAGATATCATTTACATCGATGTCATCTAAAATGCTTTCAGAAATGTCATTAAACAGTTGTTCATCGAATATATGCGACAAAGTCACTAAACATATATGAATAATTGGTTGCTTGAATATCAATGTTACCTGGCTCCATAATTGTTGCAAATAACAACAGTTCCCATCCAAACTTTTAAGTACTTCCACCTCCTACGAAACTAATCAGGAAACTTCGGGCCTGACAATCAAAGAAAGGTGATTGATAAAAAAAGGCCCGGTAGTATTACCAGACAAAAGCTGGTAAGTTTGGTCAGATAATACCAAATTGCAATGTAAGGCTGAAAGACAAGAAAAGGAAGTATTATGAAGCATTATGACGGTGAGATTTATTTAAAATTCCTTTGCAACTGAATGCTGATACTGTGAGCTTTTCATAAAGTACCCCAAAGAGGAAATAAAACTAAGGTAATGTTCTATATAGGGGTTCAACATAATAACTGATACATTTGCACACTACTAGCATTTGCATCCTCTTAACATCAATATACCCGTCCTGTAAGATCTCATTACAGTATTAATTACGATCTATCTGTGTCTTCAGCATTAGCTGCACATGTATCAAGGCTAACACCATCCGATAAGTAACACTTAGTTCATTTCAAAAAAGGCCAACTCACGAAACAAAGCCAGGATTTCTAAGCAAGTGCTACAATAAAATTTACACTGCCTTAGTGCACTTCCCTTATCACAGTACGGTCATTGTGACAACCTTTAAGGGCATTTGCTTAATTATCAACATATCAACAGGATTAAACAAGCTTGGTTTCGTCCAGCGTACTCCTCAATAACTTACCTTGAAATGAAGCGAACGGTTTATAATTTGCGCAAACTTCGGAACGAATCCAATGCTCAAATTATCCAATATCCAATATCGTTTTTACGAGCTAGTATAAACCACTCTGATTTCTTTATACTAGCCTCTTGAATGTGAGGTATAGGTTCCTGGTATTCGGTAAACTTCTGCGTAGCTCCTCCTACCACTCGACTGTCGTAGCTTTGGTTGACTCCAAAAGGTGTCTGCAAGAAATTCATACCATTTTTACCGGCACGATCATAAATTAATACTTTCTCGAAAGTTTAAATTGTTCAGATATTGTACAAGCAATCAGAACAGGTCCTTATAAATGTCAAATAGTAAGCCCTACACTAGGGTCACCAGCAAAGCTGGGCGACAACCTGTTTCCTGCTGATGGTGGTGGTCAACCAGTGAACAGCTTACATCTGGGTGAGTGTTATGCCGTCACGTTATCGAACGCTATTTCAGGAAGAAAAGAACATCCTTGAAAGCTGCAGAGTGGTATAAAAATACTATTATGGATAATATGTCATTGAAAGTGCATTTACAAGATATATACAAGAAGGAACTGACGACTCTTTGGAATGATAGTATATATTCGCAATGTTTGATGCTAACCCTATTGGTCTAAGCATGGAAACTATGATGTTTTCGATGAAAATATAGCTTTGTTCAAACATTGTTAATGTGAAGACAATACTTCTGTATTTCCTGATGTGTTGCACTCACTGACAATCTAGCAGATTTTCCCAACTGTGCACAGAAATGATTGTATATAAGTGAAAAGGCTGATTTATACTACTGGGATTAACATTTATCAAGTGTATGTACAATCTCCAGCGAACATGTCAGGCATATCTTGCTACTGCCTGTAAATTGTGATTGAATTATATGGTTCTATTTCTGTAACAATTTGATGATGCCTGTAAACTGGCGTCCCTCATGTACTGTACAATGAGAATAAATTTATTTATTTATTTATTTAGATTTTCGGGACATTTTGCGTATCGCTTAAGCAACTTTTAGGCGCACTGCGGCTTTTCGGCGTTTAGCACTTCAGGATGTACTTCCTTCTCAGGCTTGTGACTCAGTCCAGGACCTTCTGAAAGTAGTCACTCATGCCATGACTTCGAATGAGTTGACAAATGAATATTTTTAAAAAAAGAAAAGTTTGTGGCATGTTATAACAGAAATTAAGATATATATAACAAAAAGTGAAGCATTTTGCCAGGGCCTTGCACAAAAAAGGTGGGAGGGTGGTGATTGCTAGTCAGCGGATATGATGGTGGGGACATATGAGAACCACCCTGATCTGTGGGACAGCACTCTATTGCTAAGGCTCCTGAGTTCGAATGGCTTCTGCAAAATAAGAGAATAAATAAAATTAAAAAAAACAGAAGTTGAAAATTTGCCTAAAGCTGAAGTTTAAATAACAAACTCTTCGAATGCAAGTACATGGTATGAGTCCCCTACTTCAGAAGGACACCTAAATGTATACTTCAGAAAGACAGTAGTTATTATTAAGCCCTCACTTTTCTTCTAAATAGTTCACGCACTTTGACTTTTGTGTTTAACTCATATTCAACCTATATATATGATATAAAACTTACACAAAGTCAAAAGAAGTGAACAAAAACAATCCTTCAACTAATTAAATCAGTTAAAGTAAACCAAAAAGCTCCTGGTGCAACAAAATTAGAAGTTACTTCGCGACGTAAAAAATGCCACTCTCCTTTTCCGAAGTGCGTGCTGTATTGCTGGAGTTCTTTGAATAAAGAATATAAATTTTTGAAGCAGTCATTCTTAATAGGTAATGATGTGAAAAGCGGGACTTCAGTTCAGCTGTGATAGATAATGACATAAAACTAACAAAGCTCAGTATCGAGTTTGGTTCTTCATAGGGAAATTGAAAATACATTAACATGAAGAAATCATTTAGGGCAAATAAATAATAGTTTAGCTCAGAGTGAACACGGTTTTAAGCCTGACAATCCCAGACAGTATTCGCAGTCATGGTTTCCTACGAAAATGTCCATGGAGTCTGATAAATCTGACGCATACCAAAAGGTCAATAGACAAGTGGTTGCGATGACACTAAAATGGTCCAGCACAAAAGTTGGGTTATTTCGAAATGGGAATGCTTTCTAAGTGCTTAGATACTCTTGAATAACCCAGTCTGAGTACTACTTGAACGCAGGTAAAATGAGCAATACGTTGCATATTATACACAAAATTATCAAAATTCAGTTATATATGCTTCAAAACCTGGGGCCTAGACATAACAATGAAGGAATATTTACTGCCACGAACCAGGAAGCACTCTGAAGGTTTTCAGATGAATACTAGGAGGTACACCTCCCCATGTTTTAATTTTTGTTTCAGCGAGTGCTTAGCCCGGTAAGTTTTAACGTCATTTGGCACTCCTCTCTTGTGACATTAACATTGACAGTACTGGAGTCCGTAATCCAGCCATACTAGCTAGATAATCTTTAATTTCCTTTCCCCGTATAACCCTAAATTTTTGTTTTTTCAAATATGCTCAAAATCAGAACATATTACTGACTAGTATTGTTACCATTACCGTTATTGTCAATATTATCCACTTCGCAATTCCTGATATATTCAAGTTCTCTTTCTGATAAGCAATTGTTTATTTCAGTGATGTAATTGAACCGTATTGCATTTTATCTTAATTTAAATCTCCCATACTCCTTTCTTCTTATCTGTCTGAAAATGACCTGAAAAGCAATCACACCTATCGATTTGCATGACTGATTCGATGTAGTTTATTTGCTCATAAGACTGATACCTCCCAATGTAATTCTAGTGGTACAAACATCGCTGGGAAGTCCTACAGAAATTTTTATGAGTCCACTAAACGCTGCTTCATTGACCTTTATCGCTTATTTTAAATGACTCCAGAATTAAGGGAAGAATGTCACGCTCACAGTTTTTGAGGATTATTGAGTCAAGGCTACCCAGGTGCATACCAGTAGATTATCCAAGACTTTTCACCCCTTATTTTATTAACTTCCTAGTAAGCATGACTCTCCTGAAATAGAAGCTTGTAAGGGGTGCAGTTTTACCAACAATGCGTGATTCTAGCATAAAATTCGCGCATCCATTCCTTGAAAACTTAATCGTTTATCCTTAATATAAATTATTGTAAAAAGAAAGGTACTAAAAGCAAGCCTAGGGGATCAGCTTTTAGCTCATGTAGAGAAAAATAGCTTGCTAGGGGTGGAAAGCAATTATTCCTACCAGTTTTATCCTCCCTGACAAACCTACTGTTAGCCAGATGAGACCTGGTTGGGGCCAATTATAAAAAACCTTCTGCTAGAGGCCGTTTTTATCGATCTTAGTAAAGTATTCAATAAAGAATCCCATTCATGCCACCTTAGTAAAATAAAAGGTTTTGGATTAGACCAGTGCCTATGTTAGCGGTTTGGGGACCACCGAGTGGTCAGAAAGTAAAAGGTAGGGGTTTATGGTGAACTGTCAGGTTGGAAAGCAGTACTAATTGGGGGTATCTCGAGGGACTGTACCAGGCTCACTACTGTTGTTGTTGTACGTGAATGAACTAGCAAAGAACCTCACCTCGTCTTCATTATTATTTGCGGACGACATTCATTCCTGGAAAATCGCAAACAATAATAATAATCACTTTATTCCACAACAATAACAATTTACAGCATGGAATTTTCAGAGTTTCTTTTACATACTGCGATGGTTTAGCTCTGTTTATAATTATATAAATGTGTTAAATGTTAAAATATTGATAGTTAATAGGAAAAAATAAAAACTCCAACAAAATCACACCATTTCTAGGTCATAGTGAATAATAAATAAATAATATAACAAATCACACATGCAATAATATGCATCATTACATTTTATAGTTTAGTTAATGATTTAAAAGTTGTAAAAGTTCTTTTCTGATATACGTCTCTTCACACAATACTCGTGCCAAATATGGTACGGTCGAATT